AAAAATAATAATATCTGTCTTAATAAATCGTTTTAAGTATAAAAAAAAAATGAAAAAAGGGACTGGCAGTTCATATTACATACACACAAGTCGCATTCATAATACTTAAGTATTTGATTTACTTAGTGTTAATATTACATAGTGTGACCCTTGTGAAACTTATAGTATTTACTCTATTTATTGCTTAATATTATGTAGTGTAGAGACATAATTTTGTGTAAATTACATTTAGTAATATGCATGTTTGGCTGTAGTAACGCAATCCTAATTGTTATCATACTTAGATTTATTAAAATAATATGTTTCATTATTCCTTGAATAATTTGTATAATTAGTTTATTACGAGTTTGTTATACGGTTGTCGTTTTTCTTTAGAGTAAATTTATATTGACAAGTTATACACTTTATTTCAATAGCAAAAATGGAGTATTAACATTTTAAGAACAATTTCAATTAACAATATTAGTTATATTATTTTTACTGTTTAAACATTTAAAATAAAAACCAATACCTGTTACCTACATTATACTATGTAATGATGATTTCTGTGTATTTTCTTCGGTTCAGTTCATTTCCACGTCTTAATTAAAATAATTGATAAAACCATAATATTGTTTTCGATATTGCTTATAAACAAGTAAACCGACATAATCGCGTTCAACACATTTTTGTTGGTTAAATGCTAAAAGTTAATAATTTATAATTGCATAATAAACGTACGAGTATAGTTTTAAAATGATATTATAGCTATATATTGATCTATGTAAAAAAAGAAACAATGGAATATACATTTTAAACCTGAAATTGTTTTTAAAAATTGTATTTTACATTGGTATCAGACTGATGTGTTAGGTATAATATTGATGCCGCAGTTCTTTTGCCGTCTCAACGTCACTCATTCGTTTTGCAACATTTATCAGACTAGTCCAAACTTCCTTGACATCCTTGAAAAACGTCAGTAATTGGTTTATATTTTCTTGACCGTCGCTCCTGTCGTCGTCATCCATTTCAGGTCTAAAAGATTCAATATTTCTGACTTCGGATGTCGTTGCGAATGTATGATCTGGTATCGAAAGTACCGTTTTATCGACATTTGAATTGGACGGTTCTTTCTGCAATCCCAAGTAGTGTTGTTCTACTTCGATGATACGAATGAATGTATTTTTGTCCACGGAAGCTTCTCTTTGGAAGTACTTTTCGAAATATTTAACAATCGTTTCATACACTTGTGTTAATCTAATCGGGAAAAAATTACTGTTTAACAATTGTAACGCAGCCACCATTGCACCTTAATTATCACAATAATGCACGAATAAATCGTCTTTAGTACTGGTTCGTACGATTGTCTTTATTTGGATATGAAATAGATGGCTTTAATCACGATCGTTTGATATTTGCACAGGTATTTTGGGTTGATGCTATTCCTCACAAATTCGACAATTTCAATTAACCTCTTGGAATCGCCTTGCCACACAACCTTAATGTCAGGCAGCGTTGATAAACCGTTTGCTTTGTCGGAAGCCTTGTTAAAAATATCAATCATTAACAAATCGTCAACCGTGTAATCGTTTTTGTCGATTTTGGATTCGACTGTTTGATAGTTTTGCAAGTTTTCTTTGGCCAGTCTGTTGACGCAATCCGCGAACGCTGCCTTGTCTTTTTTCACCTTAACTCTGCTACATTGATTATTTACCATAGCAGTAGTTGTTTCCGTGTGCATTTCACGAGCTGATGGCGTCGGACAGTTATGTACCGTGTAATGTTCGATCAGGTTGACAATGAAACGATTGTATCGTTTTGACACATCCAATTTAGAAACCACCAGGTGCACATCAATAGACCCTAGTGAGGTTAGCGGTACTTTGCTCATTGGTAGACTGTCGTTGCTAAAATATAGTTTCGTCGCCAGAATTGAGTCAATCAATTTGCGGTTGGCATTGTTGTGTGGACTAGTCGAATTTAAGACTGCAAGTGTATCGACCAACGTACGGTCGGCTGTGTCTCTTAGCGTGACGATGGATTCCATCATAGAGTCAAAACATGATTTTATTACTTTGGGCTTATACAAATTCTTCGCTTTTAACGTTATCGCTTCGCATTTTGATATTACAATATCGTTCAGTATAAAGTGAACAACAACAACATAGGAAAACTGACAATTGTTTTCTTTTAACGATTTCAAGATTGGGATTACTCGCTCTATACCATCTTCGTAAAGGAAACCGACAAGTTGTAAAATCAAACTAGAACTGTCGTATTGCAAAAAACCCACTTCTTCGTATTCATAATCGCACAAATGTTCGTTTAGCTCTATAATTGTTTTTATGTTCGATTCCATGGCTTTTAAATTTTTCGTAAATTTTTCTAATACCGCAGTCAACTCATTTACGCTTCTGGGCGAGCCTTTGAAAAGATTGAGAAACACCTTATCGTTGTTATTTGAACTGATCATTCGTTGGTATACGACTTTCCTCAATTTCACACGCAACAGCCCAGGAAAATTAAAACGTTTTAAAATATCTACGGCGTCATTCACACACGTTTCCGTATGCGAATCGATAGTTTGGCTTGTTTCGGCGGATCTGTTGATTATTTCTCTAATAAAATAGACAATCGTCAAAGCTATGCTCTGGAACACTATTGTCTGGCTTTTCGCAATGATTTCCGAACGGTAATCCATTGCGAAATGTTTGTAATATTTGTTCAGCGACACGCTGCTGTGTTGGAAACTCAAAGCCGTGTACCCCAGACTGCTTTCGGCGTAGCAACCCAAGCGAATGGCCAAAACGTCGGCCAAAAATAGCGTCTCCGGATCGAAGTGCTCTTGTTTGTAGCGCGTTTCTGGCGAATTCAAATTGCAGAGAATTTCGTTTTTTTGGGCTTTAATCGTCAGCGGCGTGAAAATACATTTTTGACCGTGGTCGGTCTAGTGTTTTTCCATAGGGTCCTGTCGACTGCCTCCCAAGAACAGTTTAGCACTGCAAACGCATCGATCAAGTATCGCGTGTACAACTTCATGTACAAGAACTTACCGAGAAACCTTTCGTCGGGCTTTCTCGGTTCTTCGGACGACGTTTGGTTTTTGTCACTGTTTATGAACAAGTCATACGACACGATCGCATTCAATACATTTTTGTCGACTCGCACATCGAAGAACACCTTAGTGTAGTTCAACGTTGTCGTTAACATTTCACCAGTGATCTCCGGCAACGATAGCAGTTGTGCCTTCACAGCGGCCAAGCATTCGACATAACTGCCCGAACACATCGAATATAGTTTGTCTAGCAACTTGTTGCATTTAGCAAGACCGCTTTCCGCCGTCAGTATGAAATTAATTATTTTCGAGGAATACAAACAACGCAACGCGGTAAAAGCCGCGTCGGTTATTATTTTTGACTTGCCGCTATCATCACTCCATTGTTTTAGGTTTGGCCAGAACATTTTTACGAGAGACGTGTTTCGGTTGTCTATCCATATGTTTACATCCTTGAGAATGTCTAGACCGCGTATTCTGGTTATCTCGTTGACGCACATCACTTCGTTTATCATTAATCTAGCAGTTGGTATTAAACAATTAATAGTGTATAGTATAATTACCCGCAGAATGATCGGAGACGCCATTTTAATAAATCGTCCCTCCGACGTGTTTCTCTGTCAGTTGATATGATTATCGAAAACGTTTGATTATATTTTGTGTAAAGAAGAATACTTTTTCATCCATAATCAGAAAATCAAGTGACTATAAGTGTTGTCTAGTTTATAGGTTTGCTAAAAAAAAATATGGCTGTTTGAATAACTTCAACGAAAATGTCCCATTGTGCGTTTTATACACTGTACATTGTAACAAATATTCAAATATAATTGAAAATAAGAAAACTACTACTAAAATTACAAATAGTAATATGTCATGTGTCATACACGTAGCAAAAATGTACAGCTGTAAAAAAAAATTAGGTATATTTGCCAAATTTTACCTCATGACGAATTACTTAACTATATTTGAAATTGTTATAGTTTGGAATTTAACATTCAGTCCATATTATTGCTGTTGAAATAATTGATATTACTTATTAATATATATTATAATAATAGCTAATATAAGAGGCCAGTTATAAACTTTATCAATAGTTCCAAATTGTAAGGGAAGGTTATATTTTCTATACATCTAGGTGATCCATTTGATGTAAGACACTCAGTTTCTCAGAAAATAAGAATATTTTGAGAATTATTTTTTCGGGTACAAATTTTACTAGATTTTCCAATACTTGAAAATTTTTTACCTTTATTCCTTAAACGTAAAAGAAGTATAGACTTCGATTTTTTCAAAAGATACATAATATTATGTTTTAAATTCCATAAATATGTTGACCATTTTTTAATTAAAAATTTAAGCATTTTAATTTTTACCACCTTGTTCGTTTATAAATAAAAATAATTATGCTGTATTATCAAATAAGCATCAAAGCGTTTACTTGAAAGTGTTTTTATTAAATTTTATCATTTTTATTTATAACAATTCCTCTAGACCTGTGACCTATCCGTCCCCACCGTGCCATTGATCCCATTATGCCTCTACCCCACTTGCTTACGCGGATAAAATCACTTTCAAAAAAAAAAATTATTTTTATATTTTTTTTTTTTATGAGTAAGACTTTTTTTAAAAATTGTTTAGAATTATTTTACGAAGGATTTCGCATAATTTACACAAATATGATTTGGAAACCAAACTACCTTTGTTATAGCTAACGTGAATAGCCCCCTGTACACTTGACGTTTACTCTTTCCCCCTCACCGTACTTACGTACAAAGATATTTTTGCCATATACCTTTTTCTTTGTTAAAATGTTCAGTCTATTTAATTCAATATTAATTGTTTTTAACAAATAACAAAAACCGCTAGCGATCACTATTATAACAAAATACTATTTGATTGTCTACACGAGTCTCATTTTTTATTTGTAATTGTCTAGCAAACACCTGTTTTTAATTTAAAACAAAAATAGTATCATTAATTAAACAAAGCCAAACGGTTAGTCTTACATTTACATATTGTATCCGCAAGCTCACAGAACAGTGAAAACTAAATTATAAATCTACACATATTTTATCGTAAAAATAATTAAATAATATGGCGTTTTCCAAAACCATTAATTTTTCAATTACAATTGCAGCAATATTCTTCGTGTCGTTTACAAGTAATATACACAATGTATTAATTATTTTATTGTGTGTAGTTAGCTTTACGCGATTTGTTCACGTTTTTTGACGTTCATGCTTGATCTTTCAGCTTTTTATTATTTTTTAAATTTGATGATTACTAAATAAGAACTTTAGAATGTCAATTTTAAAAACCATTATTCTGTTACCGCTAAAAAAAAATAAATAAATAGTAAAACAGAACTAAGAATATTAGAGAAATATCTATCTGAAAAATGTCCTGTTTAAGTTTCAATGTGTAACAACTGTTCAGAGAAAATGGAAAACCATGAACTGAGTGTAATACCTTACTCACTATGCTCCAGCCTATCCCATTTCGCGAAATAAATAGAAATAAAACAAATGGAATAATATTACAACACAATTCTATAAAATTAGCAGATTATCTTTTTCTACTTGTTAAAATAAAATGTTGTATATTTTGTTTTGTTTAGTTGTTGATGGCGGTGATCCTAAAGAACGTGAGTACTTAGGTTAAACTTACACTGTACTATGTGACTATATTGTTAGGTAGTAATATGAGTATATCACATTACAATTGTTATACTTAAAACAAATATATAGATATGTATTGGTGGTACTTTTAAAAAAAATATATAGTTATATTTTGTATACTTACACACTTTATAAAAATATGTGTCATACTATAACATAATATTGTTCTGATTTTATTATAAAAAGTGTTAATAAATCCTATAACTCATATAAATTAAGACTAAAATGCAAATTTACTTTGTAGAAGTCCCGTCAAGCAGTGACCAGCTTTTGGGCACTCAAGTTATACACCACTACATTGACAAAAATGGTGAAAAATTACCATCAAGTAAGTAAATCGTAGTTGAAGAGTTTATCTAATGTTTAAAACATAAAAATAAAATATATAGCAAACATATTATACAGAGTGATCATTTTATCGTGAACCACTTAATATGTCATAGGGTTTAATAAGAAATACAATTTTTTTTTATAATATTTGTATACAATGTGATCTCAATTTTTTACAATTATGTTTGTTTTTACCCCCCTTTCCAACTTAGTTTATTTGATACATTAATTAATTTCTGCTGGATCATAGGATACTCCTATATTGTTAGGAAGTCAGTTTGAATATATTGCATTATAATTGTTAGGTATACTTAAAACTATACATATAGATTTGAATTAGTGGTACTTTTAAGAAAATATATAAACATAGATTGTATACATACACATGTTATACATATACCTACGATATATGTCATAAATTAATACTTCCAGATTTTATTATAAAAAGTGTTGTAACAAATCCCATGTTTTCTATAAATGACTATAAGGCAAATTTACTTTGTAGAAGTCCAGTCTAGCACTTGGCCAGCTTTTGGGCACTGAAGTTAAACATGACTATATTGACAAATATGATATAAAATTACCATCGGATATACGTTTGTATTATAATTGTGTTATGTAATCACATGTGAGTTTTTTAGGCCTAAGTGTAGAATAGTTTAATGTATATACATTGTTAATTATTATTGTATGTCTGTCTCCGGTAATTTACATTTCTTACTAATTATAAAACTGGCTTAAGGCAACACCGACATAATTAGTGGTTTTTATTTTATTTTTTATATAATTACAAATTCAATTACCTGTGTTGCAAAATCCTAACCTACAGCCGTTAAGGTATATTTAGTTATCACTACTAAACGCTGACAGCGGAAACAACTATTGTAAACTATTATAAACTAGTAAACACTCCCTAAATTTTTTTACGGCTCTATTTTTCTTTATTAGAGACCTTATTGACAAAATAAGCCGCTGTGAAAATGTTACCAGTTTGTGGTACAATCAGTGCCTAGTCAATAGAGAATATGTGCTTTTGTTAATGTTGTATTTATTTGTTTTAGCAGGTAAAGTGGATACGACAGGATATAAGATAGTTGTACAAGAAGATGGTGAGTATTTACATTATTGTACAACTAATTACACAATATAAAACGTCATTATTATACCACTAATTTTTACCTGATGACGGCTTATCTTATTTAATTTAGTTACCGAAGGGCTACACAAACAACAATGTTTATTTCAGTTTTTCTATTAGACGTTTAATATCTTGTTAGGAAAATGTATTAAAAAAAAAAATTGTATAATTGTATTTATTCACATTCCTTTTGTACTTTACTAGCCCTTTTCAAAGAAGAAAAGTTCAATAACTATTATGGCAAAAGTGGTTTATATCCACCACCGAGTAAGTACTACACTAATATTAATAACTATAGAAACCAAATAACCAAATTCATTTAAATGTATTTTTTTCTAATATCGAGGTTTCAAGCCTGCTGCTCAGTCAAGTATGGTTTTTAATTTATTCGGGAGTCAATTTTTTCATTACAAATATGATAGACAATACACATTATGTTTAGTATATAATTTTGAGGGGGTAATGTGTAACGTAGATACCTAACCAGTTATATATATATTTTTTTAACGGGTCTTAGGCTGAATTCAGACATATTCTTAATAACCATTAAGTAGGAGTCACCAAATTCATTTACAACTGTATTTTAAAATGGAGATCGTATTTTTTGTCGTTACATGCAATATACAGTAATGATAATATGATAACATAGAATTAAATCTATGAATATAATATATATAAATGAAATGCGGAACACGAATCACTTGATTTGCCGCTCAACCGATTTGCTCTTTTTTTTTTTATGTTCGATATTGTCCAAATAAGGTTTTAGCGGAAACAAAAATTTGAAAACTTTAAATTTTAGTGGAAGTTTATTCCAATAGATGGCGCTACGTGCGAATATATCTCAGCTAAAATTTGGACAGTTTGAAATATTGACATATTGCATAGCCCCCCCCCCCACCCCGGACAAAGCCAGGGCAACCTAATTATTAAAATAGATATCAGTAACAGTAGTTAAATATCATAGGCTAACAGATTAAGATATTTGGCATTAAAGCAGTAGTTTATCCGATGGCCCTGGAAGGGACCATCTTGGGATTCAGTTGCATTTGATTGAATTGCATTGAGTTGAGTTGAGTTGCATTATGCATGTAACCAGACCACCAGATCGCTGTAAGCAATAGTTAAGTTGCCAATTCTATAGATCTTTGATAGAGCCAGAGTGCACCACGTGGAGGCGATTGATCTCTGCATTACCCCCCCCCCCCTCTCAACATAATAAGACATAGTGAAAAGTGCACCAGTTTGTGGTATAATTAGTGCCTGACCAATAGAATATGTGTTTTTGTTTAATATTGTATATATTTGTTATGGCAGGTAAATTGGAAATGACAGGACATAAGATAGTGGTACAGGAAGATGGTGAGTATCTACATCATTGTACAACTAATTACACAAAATAAAACGTATAAATCTTTTACAATTCAACACTGATAAACTACATATTTCATAGTGTAAATAATATAAGTAAGGACTATTCAAGGATATTCGCCAGTCAATTCAAACATTTTCAAAATGTTAATCTATACTGTTTGGAACAGTATAATATACTGTTACTGGAACAAAAAGTTTCCAATCGCTGAAATTGAAATTTCGTTCATTCCAAGTATAACTTAATAACTATATTTTATCTGTTTATTAATTTAGGTACTGGAGATTCTGAGGAATTTGTAGTGGTTTGAAAGAGTATGTACGACCATGGTGTAGGCTCATACATCACTATTAGATTAATAATTATTATTGAATATGAATAAACATAATATGATAATATCAATGAAAGAAAACTAGTTTAATACATAATATTCCGAAGTTTAAAGACTTGAAGTGTCACTAAAAGCTCTTTTCTGTGCACTTGTGCGCCCTATCTTAGAGTATGGAGCTGTAGTCTGGGATCCTTATACTGCCGATAATTCAAGACAGCTTGAGCGTGTACAACGTAGATTCTTACGCTTTGCTAGATTTCTTCTTAATATACCTTGCTCGCCTCATAATTATACGCCAATTGCTACCCACCTTGGACTTTCTTCCCTAGCTGAGCGCCGTCGTTTTGCTGGCCTTAAATTCCTCGCATGGTTATTAAATCATAACATCGATTCACCCGTCCTACTCTCTCTAATCTGTTTTAGAGTTCCACCTCGTTCATCCCGTTCTTCCGCCCAATTCTATGTCCCCCATGCCACCTCAAATTATATGGCTAATGAACCTTTAAGACTTCTAATGTCGGCTGCCAACGCGGATCCCTCCTTTAATGATTTATTATTAATTTAATTTTGTAAAAACTATATTGTATCTATATTTCAATTTATATTGTATTATGTATTATGTGTTATCTCCATTGTTATATTCAAAAGGGCCCAGCCCGTAAAATCTATTAAAATAAAATTAAAATAAATAAATAATATTGTGCTTATTGAAACATTATTAATTTTTACAACTTTAAAAATTTATTAAATTCGTATTATTTTACAGGAGAAGATTTTAATTAAAGAAGACGCATCCATAGCGATTGGAAACAAAACAGAAAAACTTTAACAAAAGATTGCATACAATTTGAAAAATTAACTTATTACACTTAATTTGTTTAGTATTGTACTCTATAATATTCAATTATGTAGTAAAATATAATTTAAAAAAAAAGTCACTGTTGGATAATTTACATATTTTGTTGTTTCTTATTAAAATAAGGTAAAATGAAAAAATAATTTTTTTATAATAAATGGTTGGAAGTATTCAAGTTGAATCTACTATAATATGGTTGCGCCAACTACATAATTTTAGTAAGAAATACAAAACTAATTTAGTTGTTTTTGAGTAGTTGGATTAACTAAACATTAGGCTGGGCTAACTATACTTTTTTTTGTTGAATGTCTATAACGATTTTAAACGTGTAAGTCAGTTTGACTATAAATCAAATGTTGCTAAATTATTAATATTTTACGTACCTAACTAAAGGAGATCTTAAAGACAGTTAGTTATTTTATTACTATTTTTCAAAACATTCGATATATTTTTTTTTATATTAAATACACTACTATCGTCTATAGATTTTCAATTATACTTAATTCACTGTAAAAATATCACCTACACAAATTACCTACACAAGTTTAATCCTATATTTAACGTACCAAACCAATGATTTAGCAATACACAAATTAAAAACTAGTTGACCTTGGATTAAAATTTTAAACGGTGCAATCATAAAAATATAAAGCTCAAACTTAAGTCACAACTATTTAATTGGTAGGTGTAAAGGTATATTAATATTAATAATAGTAGTGTTATACTACAATTTTTGAAATAAAAAATTTAGAAAATGGTCTTGCTCAATATTTAATCACTTTTTAGCAATACGCCTTTAATCGACATTTATAGCAATAAGATCTATTAAAATCTTGCAAAATTTTTGTGATTAAGGAATTTAAGACATACTGGTTTATAGAATTTTATGACACAGTAGTTTTTTCTATGAAATCAGTTCTATGCAAGTCAAAGCAGCAATCCGTATCATATTGCGAAAATCACGATCACACTGAACTATGTCCCTAAAAACTTATTTATAAAGATAAAGGCGATTCAGTGGACTTACACAATTGGTGCTCTGTAACGATTTTTAGTTTGGTAACACGTATCTTCGAAAGAAGCCTAGATCATGAACTTCGTTCCCACGCTTTATTCTCCTGAGTACAACGTGGATTCGTGTCTTGGATTATCTCACCATGATCTGGCCACAAATATATCAAACACACACATAGTCATTACTAATTCCCCCTTCGCTGTGTACATTGGTGATCACGCCCAACAAAAATAAATATCATCTAAAAGTATTTCTATAAAGCGCGGGGTCCCACAAGGATCTATCTCCTTTATCTCCGACCATCTTTAACCTCTGCCAGGATTTCATCTTGAAACAATTTACTGACTAGGAGTTCGCTAACATTCACGGGTTTCAAATAACTCCTGATGCTAACATGACCGTCACCAAAGACGCATCCAGCGCAGTGGCAGACCAAAATAGGAATGAAAGTCAACCTAGGTATCTAAATTTTTCCGCATTAATGTACAAAAAGGTCTGCTGACGCATGAGGATATTATTGTTTTGGACGGATCCGCAATACCGTCGCGTCGCTACATGTGGGAGAAAGTATCAAATATCTGAGAGTCAACTTCCCAAGTTAGTATGTACCCTGCAAACAGTCCCCCAACGTCAGACCTTCTGGACAAACCATTGCTGGAGAGAGTGGACATGTTGGTCAGACAGGGTGTACAGGGCCTTCCCTCGAATACGCCACTCCCCGTGTTCTGTACCAGTCGAAAATATCGGAGACCAGGTATGTCGAGAACTTTATGGGAGGCACCAGTCCAACTCATCGCTATTTCCAAGAGATTATCGTCAGTTCGTGATGCACACTTTCATGCCATCCGTGGCGTAAAGGTTGAGGAAACTCTTTGCTGCACTCGAATTGTTGGAGAAATCGGCTCAAAGGCGAGGGCAATCTAATCGGAGCTCAGGCTAGCTGAATTGAAAAAATGGACCAAACTGCGCCAACGAGGAATTGGAACTATATGGTATAATTCTAACTTATGCGTGGGTATCAAAATATAAGAAAGGACTGACTAGTGCAGAGTAGACGAACGCAATAAAAAGGTCAATAAATTCAATGGTAAATCGAGTTCCAGGAGCTTGTGGTATTGGTAGCCGCCACTGAAGATTTCCAGGCTGCAGTGTGAGAATAACATAACCGAAACACTGCCACACACTAGAGTCTTCTGTCTTAAAACTGAACTCTTTCGGAACTCAGCACATTACAAAGTGACGTTTTTATTTGGTTAAAACTTTTTTTAGAATTGTTACACGAAGGGTTTCACAGAATTAAATAACAAAAATAAAAATTGGTAACCAAAATAGCTTTGTTATGGCTAACGTGAACTGCCACCTTTTGTAAAGTGTACTCTATACAACCGTATTGCATTTATTTTTAGATATTTTTGTCATATTTTAATTATTTTGTTTACATTTGTTTAGTTTGAGATAAAAATACCGACTAGCGACCACTATACAACAAAATATAGATACATTTTTTTTATTAAATAAATTGTTTAAACGTGTTTGTCTACACGTGTCTCGTGTTTTATTTACAACTGTCTAGCAAGCACCTGGTTTTAATTTGAGACAAAAATCACAATTTAAATTAAATAGAGCCAAACGATTAGTCTTACATTTACATATTATATCCGCAAGCTTACAGAACAGTGAACACTAAATTATAAATTTACCCATATTTTATCACAAAACTAAGTAAATAAGATGGAATTTTCCAAAACCATTAGTTATGCAATCACAATTACAGCAATTTTTTTCGTGTCGTTATCGGGTAATATACACAACAATATATTGTTTTAGTGTGTGAAGTTTGCTTTGCGTGATGTTCATGCTTGAACTACCAGCTTGTTATTAATATTAAAATTTGATGTTTAATAATTAAAGACTGTAGGATTTCAATTTTAAAAACCATTATTCTGTTACCGCTAAAAAAAAATAAATAAATAGTATAACAGAACTAAGAATATTAGAGAAATATCTATCTGAAAAATGTCCTGTTTAAGTTTCAATGTGTAACAACTGTCAAGAGGAAATGGCAAAACACGAACTGTGTGTAATACCTGACTCCTAATGCTCCAGTCTATCCCATTCCTCGAAATAAATAGAAATAAAAAAAAGTAATTAATAGGTACTACAAAACAGTTCTATAATATGTATTTTAGCAAAGCATTTTTTTTTTAATTGTTATTTTTTCATATCAAATGTTGTGTTTAGTTGTTAATGGCGGTGGTCCTAACGAAAGTGAGTACTTAAATTTATACTATGTGACTATACTGTTAGGTCGTCAATTTAAATATATATTATTATATTATAAGTTTTATTTTTAAAAAATATGTATAAGTATATATATATTATATGCATACACATGTTATACAGATATAATATAAGTCATAACAAAACATACCCTGAATTTAATATAAAAGTGTTAAAAATCCTATATTTCAAATAAATTAAAACTAAAACGCAAATTGTTTTTGCAGAAGTCTCGTCCAGCAGTGCGCAGCTTTTGGGTACTGAAATTATACATGACTATATTGGCAAACATGGTATCAACTTACCATCGGGTAAGTACACAATCATCCCTGATGCTATTTTAAGTTATAACACCTACACAAAATCTTCCTATGAACCAATTAGTACATAATTATTATTAAAAACATTTCCTAAACATTTTTATGTTATATTTAAAATGGGTAAAATGCATAATAATTAGCTGGCTTGAACTCAGTTTTGAGTATATAGGTAGGTATTTTTCATTTGAAAATACTGCCGAGTATATTTTAGCTTCGATGCGGAACTGGGAGCCTATTGGCTTTTTTTTTGTGTCTGTGTATACTGTATTTTTTAATACTGGACAAACTCCCTTGAGTAGCACCTTTCACTCTTGAAATTTTGAAAAAAATAAGCGAGTTTTAAATTTTCAATTTTACTAGCTATGATTTCAAGAAAAAGAGTCTGATCGAGTTGAAGTTTATGAGGAATATTTATTTGGTATGCCTCTATAACAGTTGTCAACTGTCTCATGTGTAAATTGTACTTATTTTTCACTTTTCCACGGAGGATGGAAGTTTTTTATTTTTTATCCGTAATTTTAGGACCTTTTCGTTGAAAATTTGTCAAGAGTTAACCCGATCACCTGACCTGATTTTTTAATAGTCGGAAAACTTTGTTTTTTACAGATGTTGTACATTTTAATATAACCAAGTTAAATCTTAAAAAAATCCTGGTATATTTTGATTATTTAAGGGGATTGCATGCGGTCTTTATTTTTTTTGACGTTCATGAAAAAAAAAGCTTTATAAAATTTCGTCTACTTAAGATGATCCGATTTCAATTCTTTAAAAATATCCAAGTTCTTTGGAAACTTTATTAGGTTATTTAGGAAATAGATTTTTAATTTTTTGTTTTTATTTGGGTAAAAAAAATGGGTTTTAAAATTTTTAAAATTTAATTTATTTAATTACAAGACACTGAAAAGTTTAAATGAAAATTTGTTACCTACATAACATAGTAAAGTATCCCAAAAAACTCTAATTTCTTTACAGAATTGGAATTAGACCATCCTATGTAGTCGAAATTTTGTCTGGCTTTTTGGTCTAAAATAAACCAAAATGGCTTTTAATTATAGAAAAAAATATTTAAATTGTATATAAAACCTTGAAGCTTAAACAAATTAACCGGTAAGTTAATCGAAATGGTCGCATTTTTTTATAACCTCTCTTTTCTTACATTTTTCCTGTACAAAACTTCTTAAAAACACACCACATGCAATCCCCTCTTGTAAAATTTTTAGATTTCAATTTTTTTTTTTTTTTACTCTATTTACGGTGTACCAGATGTGTGAAACGATTGACGGTGTGAATCAGTGGTTTGTATGTTCAAACCATAACCATTACAATCCAAACCAAGCACAGTATAAACAAGTGCCGTAAAAAAGTATAACAGTGAGGTGCAGACTGCAGTATCCATAAGTTACATCAAAGCGTTTATTTAGGTTATTCTATCCGAGTAAGTCAGTACAGTGAGGTCTTGGCACAATGGGTACTGTTCACTGGCCTGCAGGAATAATTGTAACTGGGCGTGATAAAATTACTTTCAAATAAACGCTTTCATGCTTATTTGTGGACACTGTGCCTCACTTTAATACTTTACAACTGTGCTGGTTTATACTGTGCTTGTTTAAATATACTAACTACAGTTTAGGTTCGAAGAATTTATTTCAAAGTGATAAAATCACTTTCTGTTGTAATAATTACTGTAAACATATAACTTCGCTGTCCCCATTATGTCTCCGTCCCCACTGCACCCCGACATCATTGTACTGGTTTTTATAATTAATTTTTACCTTAACGATATAAATCAACAACATTATTCTAACACACAGTATTTGAAAGACAGTAAAAAACATTATGTAATGATATAAATGTATAAAACATTGAATTTATATTAAAGCCTTGATTGAACAACACATCACTGCAATAACACTGCCATCTCAGACCGAAGCTAAAATTTAAATAAAAACACTTTATTGTAAAAACAGTAAATACAACTAAAATAATATTAACAAAATGTAATTTTTGAAGATATGAACTACAGTGAGTTTTAGGCAGAATTAAAAATTATTTTTAATAACTATTGAGCAGGTACTTACCAAATTCTTTTACAGCTCTATATTCTATAGAGCTCTATATATCTATCTACATTCTAAATAATAAGTCACTGTGAAAATTACATCAGTTTGTGGTACAGATAGTGCCTAACCAATAAAATATATTTGTTTGTTAATATTGTATTTATTTGTTTTAACAGGTAAAGTAGGCTCGACGGGACAAAAGATAGTTGTACAAAAAGATAGTGAGTACCTACATCATTATATAAATAAAAACTTAATATAAAACGTATACATCTTTTAAAGAAAATATATAAATATAGATTGTATACATACACATGTATACAATGTCATAAATTAACATATCCGGATATTATTATAAAAAGTGTTGTAACAAATCCTATGTTTCCTATAAATGACTATAAGGCTAATTTACTTTGTAGAAGTCCAGTCTAGCAATGGCCAGCTTTTGGGCTCTGAAGTTAAACATGACTATATTGGCAAAAATGGTATAAAATCTCAATCGAGTAAGTACATAATCATCCCTATACCTAACTATAATAAATTATAATTCCTACACAAAGTTTTTTTAAATTTAAAACAATTATTAATATTAAAATCATGTCTTATAACGTCTTTATCATTGTATTTAAAATTAAATTATCGAAAACGCTTGATCCAGTTTTCAGTAAATAGGTACGTCTTAACTTTTAAAGATATTGCTGAGTAAATTTTTATAATTTATTTCTAACTTTTACGACTTTATTTGACAACATTCCTCTAACACGTAGGACTTGAATGATAGTAGAAAACATATTATGTAAGGATATAGTTTTATAAAATAGTTAATTCATAATAAAGCCTTTAAATGACTGAAAAAATAACGGTTTATTGCATATAAACACTGCAATGTAAAAACAATAATAAATACAACTAAAATAATAATAACAAAATGCAATTATTGAAGAGCTGAACTACAACCACGGGGCTTAGGCCAAGGTATATTTTTTATAACCATTGAGTAGGTACACACCAAATTCAATTAATGCTCTACATTCTACATAATACCTAGTGTAAATTACACCATTTTGTGGTACAAATCATGCCTTACTACTAAAATATATTTTTTTGTTAATATTATATTTATTTTTTTTTAGCGGGAAAAGTAGATACGACAGGACAAAAGATAGTTGTACAAGAAAATGGTGAGTACCTACATCATTATACCATTAATTACATAATATAAATTGTATACATATTTTTAATTTGAACAATGTTAAATTATATAACCTTGCTTAACTGAGTTTAAACTAAAAATTTTTAGTTTTTTTGTTAAAAGTCATGTTTGGAAAAAAACGTTTTTAGCTCCTATAATTTCAATTGTTTTTTTTTTTAAATATAATTTTATAATTACATATTTGGTTATCGATTAAATTGTTTCTGTTTATATGTATACAGAACAAATGAGGGGAGACTGTTGATCATACTATGACTTTTTTCCATTGAGTTAACTAAAGGTTACAGCTATCATTATACGACTAATTAGTACATATTTAATACAAAATGCTTAATTTTAATCTAAACATTTTTTACATAGATAAGGTTAAGTGTTATTTTTTAAACATTATTTTGAGTATATTAAAAGTATTATGCACTATGCAGAATTTCAAATTTCAACTGACGGCTTATCTTAAGTATAATTTAATAAAATATAATTTATTAACTATTTATCTGCTTCTTAATTTAGATACTGAGAATTCTGAGGACTACGAACTGGTTTAAAAGAGTAAGTAGGCACATCATGTACCATACACATGAGATTAGTTTGTATTTAATATGAAACGTATAATGTTAAGTTCAACAATGTTTCGATGGGTAATAGGTATGTATGTAACATCAATAAATGTAATATTGCCGATGGATAATATTGACTGCGTTTGGTTGATAATAAACAATTTAATAGTAAGAAAACGTTGTTCGGCCAGTTTATCATTCAGGCCTTCATAGAGCTGTATTTTGTAATTTCCAGTGTGTTTTCTTTATGATAAGTATTTTTAAAGTAGGCAAAGTGGTCCGAAAATGTGGCTTTTCTTCAGCCTTATGTCAACCAGTAGTTGATGATTTTGGGCGCGATTTTTAGTTGTTCATAATTCAGGCTCTCGTTTTGACATGAATATTATGTTTTTTAGCTCGGGGTCAATAAGAAAATGTGTGCGTCTGCCGTGATCTAGCGTTTGTTTTTTGAATAAAAGAACTGATACATAATTTTCTGATAAGATATTATTTTATAAATATAGATTGAGATATATAACGATATATTTTCAAAAACAAAACAGGCGAAAATGAGGTCCTGAATATTTTTAAGAGGGATTGAACTTTTATATAATATAGTTTTGAATTTCTTAGACCAGTGGCAATTCAGGCTTTATATTTTTACCGATGTCACGCTAGTAGGAGAGTTGTTACAATAACAATACTATTTCTTTATAACATTAGAATTTCTAGCGTATAAATAACACAGCACTTGGTAGTAGACAAGTAGACACATTACTGTGTTTATAGAACTTTTATTGATTTTCAAAACGTTCAAAATTAATGAAAATCGTATAACCTATTTTACAGGAGAAGATTTAAGATAAAGATGATGTATCCACAGCGATTGGTTACGAAAAAGAAACCAATCCACAACACCTTTAAATAAAAGATTACATAAATCTTTAAACATTAATTTATTGTATTTTAATTTTGTTTTATCATCGTACCCTATAATATTTAAAAATGTGGAAACATAGTTTTAAAAAAGTTACTATTTGATAATTTACATATTTTGTTGTTTTTATTAAAATATGGATAATAATACTACCTTGTACCTATCTGTGAAAAATAATATTTTTGTTTATTTGATAAACATATGTTCAACTATACAATAATAAATAACAAATTATGTACATGTTAACTCGGATAAATTTTTTAAATTCTTGTTATTATAAGCATAAAAAAATTTGTGCTTCAAAAGTCGGGCTCCTTTGTAAATTGTAATATATCCAAATTTTAAAAAGAGTAACCGCGTTAATCATAGCCACGGTAATCGCAGTAACTAGTTACCATACCATGGTTATGGTTAAGATTGGTTACTATGGTTATGACTACCAAGATTATCTAAGTTACCGTGGTTACCAAAGTGCGCCAAAGTTATTGTTACCATAGTTACCAAAGTTTCCATGGTTATAAAATAACTTTTTTTTTACTAAATGTGTTCAAAATCATACTAAAATGAAAAATGCTTCAATATTTCATTTGGAAGATGTGCTTAGTAAACCAAGTTAAGGCAGCATCACAGCTACGTCGTCTGTCGTGTCGTGTGATTTAAGAAGTGGGCGTGGCTACTAAAGGTTACTTATGGTAACTGTTTAATACCAATTTGGTAATTATCGATCGTGGTTACCTAATCAGTGAATGCCATAGAGTACCAGCGAAATACATTTAAATTTGATAAAACAATTACTAATAAATATACCGTAGACGGCACCATTAATGGCAAACCGACATTTTAAAGGTTAGTTATATTTTTCATGAATCAACTGAAAGTTCATTTGAAAATAAATATAGTTTCATCTCATAGCTCAGGAACTATATATATTTGATTTTTTTTTTAGAATATTTTTTAAATATTTCAACACTTTTTTATATTACCTTAATCAATATTGACCAGTAAACAATGTGTTTGATATATTCAATAAAAACGATAATATAAATATTAAATATAATCTGCAGAATAATGAAAAATATATATTATTTATCAAAGTATATAAATTCTTTACTTTGTGGAATAAGTGGTTTTCATCACATGAATATAATTCTTTTTTTTTTTTTTTTTAATTGAAAATGATAGAATAATAATATTTTGGTACATCGGAGTATGTTTATTGTTAAACATGTAACTTGTAACACTGAGACAACTGGTTTTACAAGCATTGGTCATTAACTTTTGATGATTAAATTTTGAGTGAGGGTAGGTAAAAATATTGGTAATGTTCATTCTCCGACCACAAACCCGTTTTTATTTTTAAAATATATATTCTTATAATATAACAAAATTTTATTTCTACGTGTATACAACATATAAATATTAAATTAGTCATTTTACCTGAACCTTTTTGTTGCTGTTGTGATATTTGTGTAAATCTAACTTTATTTCAAAATAGGCGGTCAAACAGTAATTAATTTTGGTGATAGTATTAAATTTTAGTACGTGTTTTGAGATATCAAGTAGATTACAGATTATGTTCTTGATTCAATATTAACGTAACATCCGTCGACAAATTTCAGCAACATGTTAAACGATAGTCGAGATCTTTCGGCGAAGGGCATTTTTCCGATGGAGAAAAGATGTAGGATCTTATGAGTGTGGAAACCGTCGTTTTCATTTAAAGCATTGCGTATTTCATTCCAACACAGCTCCTCGAGCCCGCACTAAATGGAATGTACGCAAAAAGATGTCGACTGCCGCACACGTCTGGCAAGAAGTTGTCCGGATTGAATACTTCTGGATCCTCAAAGTATTGCGGATTTAAATGCAAACAAAAAATAGGAATAGCTACTGTTGTAGCTATAACATTGTAATATTCAATAACTATTAGTTAACCACCAACGAGCTAGGAAATTTAAATATCTATCAACTTTTTTTTTCAAGTTCTACCTGCCGGTATAACGTATTTTCCGATCCTCATTTCGTTTTCAGCTTTTCTACTGACTAAAGATGCGGCTGGATAAATTCGCATGGCTTCATTGATCACGCGTTCTAAGTATTCCATTTTTTGTAAATACTCGTATGTTGGCGGTCGGTTCGGATCGCCTTCCGAAAATATTAAATTTTTTTCTTGAAAAACCTAATTTTCAAAAAAAAATAACAATTTTAAACAGGCAAAATTATTCAACCATAACAGCAATAATTTAAATTTATTTTAGTCCTAATTACATTTTCTTGTACATCTTGATGATGAGCCAGCATGCATATAATCATTGTATTTGTTATTGCGGTCGTGTCGTGTCCGGCTAATATCATAATAATAACATTTGATAAAAAATGTAAAGGGTTTAATATTAAAAATAGTGATTATACCGTGACTCTCAACACATTAAAGCATTATCTTGTTGATTTGTTTTTTACCAGTAAGTTATCATGTTTCTATTAATCCATTTACACATAGTTGAGGAGATATTTGGACAAATTTTATAATTTTTTTTTTTACTGAAAATTAAAATTTAAACCTGAAACCTTACTAAACATGATCATATAAACTATTTTGGTTTTCGTAATCATATTACAGTTAATAAATAGTTTTTGTTCATGTCACATAACATTTTTTTCCACTAAAATATTGATACAACAATAAAGACTTTAAAATAAATTGGTTATTGTTCGTATACAATGTACTAATTCAATTATTTACAAAATAATAGTTGCCTATTTTAGTTCAGTGTAATATTTTAAATAATATCATGTAATGTACTTACTCTAAAGTATACATTTCAGATATAAAATGAATTTAACTAATATATTGTAAATTTTGTATCATATGTAATGTTGTGATTTGCATACTTAATACAACGTTGAATTCATTCCAGCTTCGATGGGAAGCTCAGAAGGAATTGTGCTTATAATAACAAGCTTTCATTTATTTTTTTGTGTTAGCCTACGATATTTTTAAACATTCAGTTTTCTGAAAGCTCCAAAACCATATATGAATAAGCAAAAAAAAAAAAATGACACCTCTTCTAAGGGAAAGGGTACTTTTCAGCATTGAATTTTGTATAAAGGTACCTTAGATGTATCGGAAAGAAGAAATTATTTGACGTTTAGAATATTTAATGCTTTATAAACCAACTATTTGTAAGTTTTTTATTTGACTTTTAAGTAAGTGTGTATATTTAGCCTGACGTAAAATGATTCTCTGCTTATTTCTTAATAAGTGTTATCCAACAAATGTTATCCTTAGATTTAGGTTAAAGTTATTTTATTGTGATATTTAATTAATTTTATTTCAACCAATTCAAAATGTATATTGTATTTGAAAAAAAAATATATATTTGTCTGTAAGCTAAAAGAAATGTTTATTAATTCTTTATAATACATAAAAGTATCTAGTAGGTCCCTGGGAGGTCCAGCATCGCGCTCTGGTGGCAGAAAAGTGAACTAATTTTGGCTTATATTAATAAGTTTAATCATCAAACCTAACTTTACCTAACTGATAAGATATAACAGTGTTTCCAACCAAACTTTATTGTGATGTGATAACATGAAAGTAAAACATTTTTTTTATTATCGTCGATAAAGTGGAGGCCCACCTCGACATAGTTGCCAAAGTAACAGAATAATAATAATAAGCAAACAGTGTCGCCGAACTGTCCTAACCGTGACGTATCGTGTCGCTGTCAATAATACTATTATATTATATTATTATTATTATTATTTATCAGTGAAACTGGTCGTCAATAGATAATAAAAAAATATAAATAAAATAAAAAATTGCTTTACTACATGATAAGATACCCAAAAATTTAAAGGTAATGTGGATTCACAAATGAACAATTAAAAAAAAAATCATTATAAGTCAAATTATTGTTCAGAACCCCATCGAAGTTCAAACAAGTCAATGTTAAAACTTACTTAGCTCCAAATCCATTATTAAATGTATTACTTACCAACTGTCATTGTAATTAATTGGTCCCTTAGCTGTTTATATGATCTCTGGTGTTCATTTTCTAGTAGAATTTCGATTAGAGGTTTTGGTTTTCGACAAATACTATCCTCGCCATCGCTTCCGTTTATCGCAGTTTTTCATTACCTTCGACTTGTTTTTTCTGAAATAAATTATTTAAAAATGTATGTGCTATATGTTGACTCTTGCTTTGTTGATGTTTTTGAGATGATAGTGAAAATAATCTAGAAAACAAAAACCACGGTCGCTCCATTCTGTATTCAAAAATCTGAAATAAAACAAAAATAAGCAAAATAACGAATATTATATTAAAGTAACATTATTTTTAGATCCATAATAATGTTTTCTAAATTTAGCGTGGTCTTATCAGGCTACTACAAACATTTTAACTTGAAACAAATCATTTTTACTTTTGCTAGACGTTCATAGTTATGTTGAAATGCATGATTGGCTTTATTTTGTGAATTAAATTTTTCTCCCAACGCTGTTCTTCCAATTGTGTCCATCGATGCTAGTTCAAAAGCTCGGCTTATATCACATTCATTTGATTTTCTTTCTAGTTTTTCAGACAATATGTGTTCCAGAACTTTGGCCTCCTCGTAAAAATCAGGTATCAATGATTTTAAATTTGAATACTTTAGCCATTTAGATATAGTTTTCCTAAAACGGTTAATTTTATTAACACTCCGGTATCAACAATTGCATGCTTTGTTTTCAAATCAAAATTTATCTATTAATCTAAACTGTCCTAAAAAAAGTACTATATATTATAATAATCGGGTATCAACTGTTACATTATTTTTCACTTAAGCAAAACAATTACTTTAAATTTAGAATATTTTATTCTAGTACTTTCTCAAACATAATTCATTTTTTTCCCCGTGCAATAATGATTTATACTACAGTTTTGAACAACCTCATGAAGCTTTGCTAATGTTGGACACCGAAAAGACGTTAATTCATAATTGGCTTGTGAGTCGCAAACCAAACTATTTAGTAATATAAAAAATATACACTTATGTTTGTAAATAACAGAAATTAACCAATGGGTAACGTTCTGAACGTGATAAATCCTTTTAATTATACTCATTACCAATTTTCGATATTTTAAATTGTAACAAAAAGACGAGATCCAAGAAATATATTTAAAAAAATAAAAAATAATAATACAGTATTTTAAAAATCGATTATTATAACAAAATAGTTGGATGTTTGTTTCTATAATTATAGAGTTTAATAGTATAAGTAATAGTATTAAGAGTTTCATTACAATGTTAGAAACAAGTCATGATTTTTTAGCAAATGATAAATAAAAGTAAGTATAAGTATTTTATAATAAAAAAGTGGCGCTTAGAAAATAATAATCCTAGGATAATCGTCTGAAACCAGTGTGTAACCAATAACCTACTTGGAATACCTATAACATGATATAATGTATTATGATGTTGTACTGCACCTGTCTTCTTTGTGTTCACGTATGTTGCTGGTCGTAACTAGCCCGTCCATCGAAAAAGTATCTGATATTACAGAGTAAATCCTTGGCTTTTTGAAACAATTTGAATTACTTATTACTTGTTCTACATCTTGGGGTTTGGATACACAAACACTAAGGTTGCCAAAAAGCCAATATTTAAATATTGAATACTCGTATCTTAAACATAACAAACTCATTTTTCATAACTTGTACATACTTATATTTATTTATTTAAATTACATAATATGTAAAATATTTAAAACTATTCATAGTCCAAAAGTGATGTGTTCGTTATTATTGGAGTCTTTTCTACCTCAAAGTTCCGTAGCATGGATTTGGATTTTTGATAAATTCAAATATGTCTTTTATATTTATTGGTGTGCTAGGCCTTACCGTGTTAGTTTTATAATGTTACAACTTATAATTAATAATAAACACAATCGTTTGAATTGATTGCTAACTTTAAACATTTGTTTGGTCACGGGACCACATTATATCAAAAATATATGAGTGCTTCGCCAAGATTACTTACTCCTTGCATGTTTGTGAAATAAACTCTAATAACTTGTCATTTCCTTGAATCAAAATCGGTGCAATCCCCAAAATAAAATTGTATTTCGGACCTGGTATCAGAGCAGCTTAAGTCATTTTTCTTCTGTTTGTTATCTTTTGGAATATTTTTATTAATAATATTAACAAAAGTGTCAGTATTAAGGAGTGAAAATAACTGATATTTTGTAACTGCAAATAAAAAATGTATTTAATCTATACGATAGATCTTACTTGATTAAATAGAACAATCATATGTTTAGTTGCTGCAGAAATGATTGATCCAAACATTGTAATAATGTTATACACTAATGATGATATTATGCACTGTTGAGAATTTAAATCGCAAATAGTATCATTCTGACAAATCAGGTTGTTTTATATATTTATCGTTGAATTTAATGTAGTGTGCGGTTATATTATTATAGTTCTTCTAATATTCTCTATTCTCACCCCATATAGCTATATCGGCATATACTTTGAAATTTCAGTAATGAGAACATTTTTATTATTATTATTATATTAATTACACAATACGAACACTTTTCTATTCACACGCGTTATTTACCTGATAGTAAATTAAAATTAATGATAATTAAGGTTTAAGCTACTTACGTTTTGAATAATTAATTGAGAACACAATGCAATGATAAATATGGCATTAGAATTGCATACCTATTAAAAACAGTTCACACAGACACCGTTAAATTAAAAAAATGTATAAAATAAATAATTAATACTTTGAATGTCAACAAAAGTTATACTCCGTTTTCCGCCAAAATAAACCAAAATTTGTTACCTAATATATTTTTAAGAACCCCCGAAACTAAATCTATAATATTATTTACTGCTTTTCGATTGCAGGCTGAATTAATAATTTGTCTATCGGCAGCACTATGTTCTACTATAAGATTAACCTACATTCAGACGAGTTCATAATTATTATTTTTCTGTAAACATTTTAGCCGTACACGTTTTTTCGTAGCCGGTAGTACCTCAATTGTGTAATGCCATTGTTTTAGCTGTGTAAGCGTAGTCGAATTTAAAATTGCTATAAATTAGCATAATATGCTCAGGGTTACTCGTAATTACTTCAGTTTTTATAATTATTATAACGTTTTTATGAACTCACAATCTTGTTTGTCGTTCCGGGTGGAATCTTGCAACTCAAATTTCGAGCACTTCCCGATTAGCTATCCGGCTGAAACTTTCAGGGTAGCTCAAAATTCGATGACAATGCATTATTAATCCACAAGAGGTTGAAAATTCCAACCTTAAGGGGGTTAAAATGGGGTCGATTTCTTGTCCGTCGTTCTGGGTGGAATCTTGCAATTCAAAAAGGCTTATTTCTCACCCGCCAGCAAAAATTATGCGTGGTGCGTTTGGGCGTGAACGGTGCTCAGATATGAGCGGTACCAGGTTCAAACCCGTTCCCATCATTACACTTTTTTGCATTTTCTTACAACTTTTATTCAACTTTTATGATAATTTATATAGTAGTTACAACTTAATTTCAACTTTTATGATAATTTATACAGTAATAAATCTAAAATTATGTCATGTAAAATTAAGCACCACATTACTTTAAATGTTAAGCAAGTAGACAGTAAACAAAAAAATTAAAGCAACCTACATAAAACAAACTTTGGAGAGAATAGCAATTAAGTCTTTCTAATTCGCAATGAAATTTAAGGCAAGTGGCACGGGAATCCATTAAATTTCATTTCCGATAAAAAGTTATACTATCACTTTCTGATCCGTTCGGTTAGAGAGACAGCATTATGAGAGCATAATGTTACAGACGAGGTGTAAATTTTAATTAGAGCTATACAAGGTGGCCCACGAAGATTTGACAAATGAAATAACTTTTGTTCTAGTGAATATTTTTAAGATTTTTTTTTTTTTAATAATTTATACTCACTTACGCGATAAGCATCACGGTTCTTATTGCACTTAGCTGTTTTACTTTTTAAAATTTTTTTTTTGTTACGTTTTTGTTTTTAGTTTCAAGATAGCCATTTTATTTAGAATAGTTTTTAAAAAAGAATTAGTGAATAAAAATTGTATAATTATTCACATTAAGCCAGTAATTGCTAACTATTTGTCGATACAAGGATGTGGCTTTGCGCAATTGAAGGTCAACGATTTAATGATAACAGTAGGATGTTGTATTTTATCATTAAATATAATCAATAATTTGAACGAGAGACAGATGGGGGGTACATTTTTTTTATATTTACCGAAATTCTGAGTGACTTTTAAGAGTTTTTAAATAGCGTGAACCTAAATTCGCCTCTGACTGTGCCAATGTCAATGTATTAGTATTATCATTCCGGTTGTCATATCCGGCGTTACGGTCACAATCCGCTGCACTGAACAAATGAACTCGAGTCTTTTAAGTGTCGTAAGAGTTCCAACTGAATAATCCCGAACAATAATACTCTTCTAGCATACTACATTCTTGGTAGTCGAATTACAATAGAGTGCTTGTATGTATTTTGTATGACAGTTTCTCGACATTGTGCTGTGGCTTGTGGTTTAGGCGAGCTGTAGTAATCGCGAGACGGCCATGGACTTGACGTGGGTTAATGTAAACTTTTTGTACTACACGTCCAAATTGTTTGGATTGTTTCCCTTTTCCGGCAACAGGAAATACTTGTCGTTCGCGTATTCCACCGTCGTATGGTCACTGTCCACGCTTTCCCTGTATCAAATAACTTTCATGATATACCAATTTAGCCACGACGCATTAGGGTACCAACTATGGCTAAAGGTTAATGACGGGAGGGGAGAAAACCAATGTAACCTACTCGCACTGTTGTCGTTTCTACTTACCTTTTTTTTTTTTCGTTACAGGTATACCTCGTCACGGTGCTCGTTAAGGATATTGCGGCTGTGTCAACCATTGTAACATCGGCGCAAAAGAGCTTCAGCTTTTTTGCACTGTTGGACAAGTTTAACAGATTCGACGAGTTAATCTTGGAAATGCACTGGGAGCAAAACGGACGCGTACAAATGTATTACGTGTTGTACATTGGTTTTGAAATATTTTACCACCATTTATCTTTGTTCGGCGCCAAGACAGAACATATCAAATATTTTTTTTGGGCTATAACGTGCTGTCTTAGTACGTTGGCGTCCGTGCAGTACACTGTATTCATGAGGATGTTAAGAGAAAGATACGAAATCACCAACATTTTGTTTAAAAATTGTAAGTCAATCTTTGGGCACAGTTTAAACGAAGTTTAAGGTGACACGACTCATTTTTATACAATCTTACAAGAGAGCCAAATAAAAATTCTACTTCCATCGCTGACAGAGGCTCACGCTTTTGGGTCGACTGTGGGACTGAGTGCTTTATGGGGTACCAATCGAAAAATAAAAATTATAAAACGTTGGTATTTCTGTGTCTTGTAACTCGTACAATATTTCTTTTTTTGATAACAATATTTGATGATAAAAAATAACCTCATCATATTTAATGTTTATAATTTACTTTGTTTAATTGAATTTTCGTACAATGACCTATATAGGCTTAGCCTATATCATATATGGTAATATGTACCTAATGAACAATTTACTAGGTGTATAATAAAATTGAAAACGAATTTTTGTTGTTCAAAATACAATCTCATAATATTATAATTAATTATACGAATACACTACGGTAATTCGGATTTAAATCTGTGGGCTTAGCGTTTATAGATTGCCCAGGGCCTCGCAAATCATAGCGACGGTACTGGATAAAGTAAAAGAGAATAATATTAAGTAGTGCAATATCGTTTTAGCTATTATCTATTCTTTTGATACAACTTTTTCACTTTTAGAACTTACCGAGTTGAAAACGCCAATTTGTTGAGCTGATTTGCCTAAATATTGATGAAACCTAATTTTTGAATAATATAGGTATGGATGACAGCAAAGCCAATACCCAATGCAGGTATCCAAGGGAAATAGACCGGTTATTAAGAGAACTGCGGTGCCTAACCAACGAAGTTAAGACGCATTACTCCGCCAATGCCTTATGTTTCGTCGTCGAATCTGCTGCAATACTCGTAACTAGTGTAACGGTATTAGCAGTCAATTTTATCTACACGCCAAGTCGGGTAGTCGATTACAAGGTGTTCATCATTACTGTTTCACGCTTAATAATGTTTTTCCTTTTCATTCAAGAGGCACACAGTACACTAAAACCGGTAGGTCAATCGTAGAACTAATACTGTAACTGAATAACATTATTTTTTTCAACACTTATGATAATAGTGAATCATAGTGGCCAGTGGGGATGTAGCATTTTGGGGCGGTAGTGGTTACAGGCTTATAACAATAATTAACACAACTGAAAGTGATAAAATCTCTTTTGAATAAATGCTTCGATGCCAAACTGTAATATGTAAAATCATTGTTATGACATAATGTGCTGAAAAATGTATTTTTAGTATTGGTAATTTTACCCATTATATCGTAATTAACAAATGCATTTAAATAGGTATTCCAATACATGTTGTAAATTTGTTTAAATCTATAAAATTTGTTTTTAGTGGCTTTTTTAGAGATTTAGAATCCTAGGCCCTTTAGGTCCAAAACCGACCCTGTTTGTGGGAAAAGGGAGAGATGAATTTGTACAATTTTAGACTTGTAGTACGATTTTTTAGTGTATAGATTGTAAACATTAAAATTACTTCACATCGTTATGATATGTCGAAGTTTCAAAAATGTTTAGTTCTTTTTTTTCAACTTCAAATTAATTTTGTTGAGGAAAATAAGTAATAAATATTATTTGATCAAACTATTTCTTGTATAAATGTAAATGTAGATTTTTCTTTAGATATTATTTAAAATTTGTATTAAGAACATTATCAAGAGGCAATAAATAATAATAGTTTATATAGCTAAGGTGTTACATAAAGAATACAACGTTCATAACATGGAATTTTTACAGGCCAAACAAACAGTACTCATTGCACACGAAGCGCTCACAAGAACTAACAATGCGATTATTTCGAAAGAAGTATAATAAACAAAAATGTCGCTAATTCGAAATAGAATTTTCAAAATATTTGTATTTGTTTAGTTGGATACGTTAATATTGAACTGTTGGAATCACCCCATTGTATTAGATGTACATAATTTGTTTGAATTGGACTATCAACTTATTCATTCAGTAAGTGAAGTTTTAAATTCCTAACTATGTTGTTGTTACTAACAAAACATTATTCGTTATGAAAATGTGATGTTAATACAACAATTTTCACTTGTATTTCGTTGTACTACAAACATTTAGAATATGATTATAAATTTTAAGTTTATTTGAATAATCGTGGCTCTAAAAGTGTTTTTTTTTTGTTGTTGCAATTTTAATAAATAATACAATTTAATATTTCAGATATTCGCAGCAGTAGTTACTTACACAGTTGTGTTTGTACAAATTCAATTGGCATTTTTCGAACGTGCAACCAAAACAAACCATACGATTGTATTAAATTAAAATACAAATACAATACAATAGAATAAACAATCTTGTTTTGAAAAATATATAAAATTTCTGCAAACTAATAACTATGAAAGTATAGAAAAGAAGCCTATTATTAATAGGTATATTCGAAAATATTGAGTGGCCCATAATTAGCGAACCAGCCGGTATAAATTTAACAGCACCCAAAGTAGCTCCAGGCGTATAAATTTAAACAAAAATAGATCTGTACAATTAATATTCAGTGCTTCAAATAAATTATTTTTATTTAAAAAAATATTTTTTTGTTGATGATTGATAATATATTCATATTTTACTATTTTAATTGATAAGTAACTAAATATTTTTCTACTAACAATAAATAATATAAAATAATATTTATTAGAACTATTGAAATAATTAAATTTAAAATATTAAAACCACAAGTTAAAAAAACAAAAACAAATTTCAAAATACCAAACCGATAAGTTTTCCAATTTGATAATTTTTTAAATATATAATATAGGTAATAAGTTAGAATAATTGTAGACAATTGACGAAAAAATTATTTTGTAGATAATGACATACATTTTATCAATTGATTACGCGGTATACAACACAATAATATAACACACAAATTAGCTCTAGAACTATTAACTTTAAAATGTATTGCTTTGATTTGTGCCGTTTTTATTTATAGCTTCAGACATGCATATTATTAAAATATTCTAAAAATAATTTTTTATTTAATTACATATTTTTCAAACATTAATGTAAATATTACTTATTTATTTAAAAACAATTGTCCATGTCCATATGATATCACATTAATTAGTATTTACACATATTTATAATATTTAAACTTGGTTTGATACGCCAAAAAAAATAATTAATAAACTACAAAACATGTAGGAAACTAAATATTATGTAGGTTCTACTTGCTTTTTCTGTTTGACAATTTTAAATAAAAAATAAACATTTATTAAAGTACAAATAAAATTTTATATAAAAAAGTATTTAAATTAATATTCGATTTTTAAAAATTTAATAAAGTTTCAGTAACAAAAACTATAATAAAAACACAACCCAATTATCTACGAGTAATACTATGTTACCAAATTTTTAATTTAAAGTTATCGTTAAAGTTACGCTATTTTAAAAGAAAACAATTAAACCAAATATATATTTATGAAATTTTATAGTCAAAAAAAAAATTACAATTATATTTTTGTTTAGTTTGTTTCAAGTTTTCTCAATGGTGTATCTATTCGTTTTTTTATATAACAGTCATAGCTTCAAATGTGTGTTGTTATCTTATATAAAGCGTAAAATGTCGTTAAAAAATATAAAGTTAGTTAAGCAGTTACACTCATTTAACAGTCAACATCCTAAATTAATCTTTATGGTCCATTGAATAATTGTACAAACAGGAATAGTTTAATAAAGATACATCATTTATATATGAGGAAATAAAATAATTTATAACAGCATGTTCATTAAGGTCACATATGACAATTCATACAATATTTAATAATACAATATTATATATGTAGGTAATATTATGTATTACACATGCAAAATAGCACAAAATCAAAGGCAACAATTTTAGTTGATCAGTTTGTTTCTTTATTGGTGTTTTTCTTGAATCTGCAAACAAATGGTTTTCCATGTTATAGTTTGAATTTGTTACGAGTGACACGGAAATAAAAACAGTGTAATGCTAATTAATTCATCACCTATAGCATTGTATTTTGGTAAATAATTATAAATAAATTGAAATGTAAAATAACAAGTAGAAATAAACTGATATAAAACTGTTTGGTTGTCGCTGTTCGTCTTTGAGGCTTAAGTGCAACAGTTCATTTGTTCAACACATTACACTTTTCCTTACAACTTACGCTTATCTTGCGAATCGACCGAATTTTGTACCTATCCTATCTCCATACAATCTCAATTTAAATAACGGTGACGACGGCTATTCAACATCCGTGAAGAATCTGGACTTCCAGCCGTAATACCATCGACAACTCATGAGCACCTTGAGTATGTTCCTAAGACCGTATCCTCTTTTGACTTTTGACAATATAAAATAATAAGTTTTAATTTTTTTTTATACAATTTATCATAAAAATCCGTATTTTTTGGTATATCATAGAAATCACATTAATTTAGGTGTTCGCCACAAATCATAAGTCATGAAAAAATATTAAAAGAACGGAAGGCATAAAAGTCTAATGGATGTTTTACTCATTTTGTACCTTTTGACGTTGAAAATCCCACAATTTTAGGTTTGTGTATTCTCCAATTAAATACAGCGAGGCGCTGTGTATGAACAACCCCAAAAAGAATAACGTCCTATAGAACATGTTTAGTTGACTGAGAATTGGGTACACCCACAAATTACATTGGCTGTATACAATATGAATCCTGAAATCAATAAAACAATAATCCAGAATATTTAAATCATATAAGAAACCAATGAAATCAATATGATAATTGTATTATATATGAAGGGCACAGGGAAAAAAACGGTAGTAGTCACATTATGAAACTTTTTTTTTCCAAATAGTTTTTTTCAATTTATGCCAATATTTTATTAAATTTATGAAATAGATTGTTTAAATAAATACATTTATTATTAGAGTAGCATTTAATGTGATTTTTTTTGTTATTTTGTAAGAGGTAGAGGAGTTTACGAACTTTGTTTTTGCTATATTTAGAATTTTCATAATGTGACAACTACCGTTTTTCCCCTGTGCCCTTCATATGATAATACGTTACAATATGTAGATTCAAAGAAACTTTGAAAAAAAAGCCTCATACATTTGTACTATTACTTCAACAGCAGGTATTTGACATACAATTTAAACTTTTATTTTAACGACGCAGTGTCATAGTGGTAATAGTCAATACAATCAGAGGACTCCAATAAAATAATGTGTGTGAAATCTTAGTCATAAAATATAAAGTTTTACTAATACAATCTTAGTAGGACGAAGAAACGGCGTTTATTATCATAGAAAATGTTATAAAGCGAAACTGACAAAAGAGTTAACTGTATTAAATTCGTATCAAGATGTGCTCACCATACAAAGTATGTTAAAATATAACTTGAAGTTATTCGCAATCCATGAACACGAGACGGGTACGGCCGGTAAGCAGTGATCATTTCCAAGCAAGCAAACACGGACACAAACGTGTGCATAGTGTGGTTTAACCAGCTGGGGAAGTAGACATCCAAATATTTGGGCATTACCAAATTGCGATCGAGGAAATATAAGCCCCAAAACATCGTGGATACAAACTGGAATGTGAACCAAAAATAAAGGTTCAAATTAATAATAATGGAAAAATGGAAAAACATAAAATAAACATGTGTTAAACGATTAAACAGTTCTAATTTTCAGTACCTTGTACTAATTAGAAATACCCAATAATCTTCGTTTATATCAATATACGTCATATCATATTTATATATTATAGAGTGTACCTAGTATAGACAAATTTTCGCAACTTTATAGTTACACTAAGATTTTTTGAGAACCTTTTATGAAATAACTAATATATAAAACGATTGACGCAGATTAAAAATGGTAGTTATTATAAAGGTACCAATTGATTCACATTTTTAAAAATTTGTTATATCAAAGTAGGTATTTTAATATCTCTATATATGTATAATATTGAACTCAATAGTATTCGAAGTAAGATAATATTATTTGTTTAATAGATCGTTTACTGTGGCCAACATAAAATGCATCACACATCACAGTATTATAACCTTGGTTAATGGTTTGCTTTAGAATGTAAAGGTTAAATCTAACTATTTAAATACATTTTTAAGTTATATAAATAAACACCACCTTATTATTATCATTACTATAATTTATACTAAATAATTAATCATGTCACAGTATTTAACTATATAATATGTATAATACATTCTTCTTCTTCTTAGGTACATCAGCCACTAGCACCATGCTGAAATACAGCCTTGCTTCCAGTTTTTCCTATCCGAATAATAATAGGGAATTGTTTTATTATGACGTAAACATTAACACTTAAGTAGAATTAATGAAACCGCATAATTAAACAGTTTTATAGATTATCAAAATATAATAAAAACATATGAAATAGCGTGACTAAAAAAAAAAAGTTTAGTAGCCGTTTGCACCAACTATACCGAAAATATAAGTATAGTTTAAACTAAAGATCAGTACTCCTGAAATATCTTTATATTTTATAAATAATTACTTCATTATAATATCCATTACTCGTTTTCTAACTGTAATCTTTTTTAATAGGTACATACAAATATTACCAAAATATCACAATGTTACTAATTTCAATAAAATATAAAAATTGTTTAAAGGAATACAATTGTATACATAAATTTAACATTTTAAAATAAAATACGTGTTACTAAATTAGGTTTTAATTATATTGTAAATTTAAAAAGAATAGATAATTTAGTGTTTGTGGTAAAAAAATATGTAATATTGCTAATTGCAAATTAGACCTGGAAGGTGTGGTGAGTAAAGGCCCTGCGGTACAGATAAATATTACTACAACGTTTAGCACACCTGAAATACTAAGTAGTGTCTCAGTTCCACGTATACTCTGCAGTACTGTCCAACTGATATTTGATTAGCTGTGGTAGCTTAAATATGATAATTTTAAACAACTACTAAAATATTTCAAATAATATTAAATAATTCGTAAATTATTATAACATAAGTATTTAAAGAAAAAAAAAATAGTAATTCTTACCGTACTCCCTGGAAACACAATACATGCGAAGAAACAGCTTTTCACTTGAGATAGTTTGTCAAAAGTTGGTGTTTTGGATGAGGAAACAATTGAACAAATATCCTCAATCAATGCGTAGGTGAAATATAAAGCCAAGAAACACTAAAAAAAAAAAAAAAATGATAATATTTTAGAATATATAGTGAATAAATGTACAACAGAAAAATGGATCCACGGTTTAGATGTAGATAATACTGCAATATGCATAGAATAAGGCGTATTTTAAAAATGTAGTACTTATTTTTAAATTTGAATACTTCAATAATTTTACTATTATTCATTACTTATATAGATATGAACATCAGTAAAAATACAATTAGTGTCTAATTTTTTACAACATACAAACTATTCTAATACAAAAAAAAACCACACATTTTCAAGGTGATGATGGTAGGAAATTAGTAATAATATTCAATGTCAATTATACAAAAGTTATTCAGACATCATAAGTCAGAAACCAGAGCGATCCGAATTGACTCTTTTGTATTCCTCTTAATAGAAATGAACCCTGAATTTTAATGTCCGTTACAAATCTTTAACTAAAACAACTACACATAAACTGTAACGAAATCAATTACCTCAGTACATATGGTACACAATGACCTTGGGGATATTTTTTGTGACTGTTGTTTTGTAACTCTATTATTTTATTACTTCATTTTCATTATATTTGTTAATAGCCTGTAAGTGTATATGTGTGTTAAATAAGAAATAAAATACACACATAGTATATAAGAGAAAATTAAAAAAATTATTTTCGTATCTCAATAATGAAACGTGTAAAAAAACAATGTACCAGTCAAAATTAAAAGTGAAAAATTTCCAAAATAACTTGGTTTATTATTTACACTGAATTTAAAACACACAGATGTTTGGTTTGTAATTCCAACAGATATCTTTCAAAAAGTGGTTGCCTTTTAAGGCTTTTGGGTGTAAGGCCATTCTTACAATTCTTCCATTTATAGATTAAATTGTTCAGACTAATTTTGTATTTTATACGAAAATAGTCATTTACTTATATAGAACTACTAAATTTCCATTCTTACAGCCAATTGATTTCTATCATTGGACGGTGTCTTTTAACACACCTTACACAGCTAATACATCTTTCCTATTGTAAAATCATATGCTTATTGTATTAATTTTTAATTGTACAGATTGTATATTTTTCTAATAAAAAAAAATATATATTTATCCTTACCTACTTAGTAGAATCAATAGATATGTGTTTTTATGTTACTTTCTGGTGTCTGTTTATTATTTATATTGATGAAAAATAAAACATTTAATGATTTTAATTTATACAAAAAGTAGTGTGCGTGTGATAGTTTTTAGAAATTTGCTGTTAACGGCTTTGTGAGATTTTCGCATAATTTTAAATTAATTGTTAAAATATAAATTTAAATATATTAATACATTATATTTTAATCACAAGTGACTACACCGAGTTGAGACTTTATATTATGGCATTCAATTTAGATAATAATATACTCAATTTTTAGTCATAACGGTGTAATTTATAAATACTGTTTATTAGGCGAAAACTAGAATTTTTCAAACTCAGTAAACAAAATGTCGGTAAATAGTAAAACAATGTTTAACCGATAACTAAGAGTAGAACTTTGTATACATGCATGTTAATTGGATATTTTAATCACATTCTTATTGAAGCACGAAAATAGTATTTATGTAAAAACATATATTATTTCAATAATCTGATAAAAATATAAGCTAAGTCTAGCAAATCCCGGCGTGACTTTTAAAAAAAAAAAACACTATCTAATAATATGTAGAACCTGTAGACATGTATGAACCGTATTATTTTCTTCGCAGACTATACATGTATAAAGCTGCTAGGCTGTAGTTTGTGATAGTTGATTTTTATTTAAACGTAACGGATACTTACTCCGTCTAAAAACGTGAGATACTTGAATTGTCCACCGTATGCGTTGGGGATAGGGTTTACGTGGGTTGGTATGTTTACGTGCGTGTAGTTATAGTAAACAGAATACACCATGGTGACAGATGCCACCAAGTGCACGACCACGTTTGGCACTGGTAAATAGCCAGATAAACCCATAGTGCCGTCGGGATAACTAAAAGGTTAAAAAAAAAAAGGCTAAAATGTTAAAATAAAATCGTTTTGTCTATTACAGGAAAACGTTTAACGCGCGTATACAAATAAAGATTTACTGTACGAACGTCGGGACAGGCGGACGAGACGATCGCCGTTGGACTATGACTGTGTAGTTGTGTTACCGGCTGCAGTCAAGGTAACACCACAATGATATTCTATAGTAGCTACTAGTAGCTGGCAGGCAACAATAGCTAAAAGTTACATTCATAAATATCAAGTGTCCCGAAGTGTCTAAATCAAGTGTCTTAATATCAAGTGGCTGAACACAGATAACAATTTTTAGAGGTCAGTCGGCTAAAATGTCTGTTATGGTGTACCTATGTGAAACACAATTTTTTCAAAAGTAGTATATTATATATCTAGATATTGGTCGAATTCAAATCCTTAGTTATACTATAAGTTTAGAATTCAACCCTCAGATGTACACGCGACATGGAGCATTAAAGGTGGATGCTTAAGGCCTGCCGTCTGTTGGTACTTGGTTATTCCAAGTTAAAAAGTGTAGATGAATGAGTGTGACAATATGTTTGTGTGTTCAGTGAAGGTTACTGAGGAACTCAAGAGTACAAAACATGAATGAAATGTCTTGAGGTCATTCAGTATATATTAAATAGGGAAAGAAGTGAAGAGTGTTGACTAAGTAAAAATAAATTAGTTGAAAATATTTTTGATTTTTGATTATCTGAGTGTCCGGCAGTGCGTTTCAAAGTGATTCAAAGATCACAGAATGACAAACGATTTTATAAAATGTCTTTTAAGTTGATAGAATTCAAATTCTAAAGAATTATTTTAATTTAATTTAAAACAATTGAATAACAATAATACTACTATTATTCAGTGCATCAAATACCTATATTATTATTCATTTAATTGTTCTATAAACGTATTACTTACTTATTCACAAAAAATCATTTTTATTGAAACTAAGTTTGCATTTAAAAAAATGATAAATATTATAATATCTGAAGCACTAAATAAAAATAGCCAAAATCAGAACAATTCATATTAAAATTTATATTGAAATTCAACATTAACCTTTAATTACTTTTTATTATTATTTATAGAAGTATAATATAAGTATTCGCTCCACCATAAAAAAGTTAAAACTATAGTTTATGTTATATTTTTTGAAATTGATATTACTCTGTTGAATAATGAAAGCCCGATAAACCCATTGTGCCGTCGGGTTAACTAAAAGACAAAAGGCTAAAAAAGAAAAAAAGGGTTACGTCGGGACAGGCGGGCAAGACGATGCCACCGGCCGTTGGATGTGACTGTGTATTTGTGTTACCGACTGCCGTCTAGGATAATTAATATTTTTTAGAGATTACTAGTAGCTGTTAGGTTACTAGTAGGCTAATACAGTTATTAAAAAATGTATTGCTTGTTTGTTTTTGTTATAGGCCAGTGTGAACTGTTTTTAATAGGTATGCAATTCTAGTGCCCTATTTATCATTGCATTGTATTCTAAATTAATTATTCAAAACGTAAATAGCTTCAAATTTAATTATCATTAGTTTTAATTAACTATCAGGTAAATAACGCGTGTGAATTGAAAATTGTCGTATTGAGTAATTATTATATTTATAATAATACAAGTTTTCTCATTACTGAAACTTTAAAGTGAAAGCAACCTAACTATATGGGGTGAGAACATGTAATATAATTATAATACTATTTATTTGCAATGTCTACACTAGAACATAAGTAATAAAACCGTATGTGTATTATTAACTATTTGTCGATTCATATTAAATGATAACAATAGGACGTTGTATTTTATCATCAAATAAAATCAATAATTCGAACGAGATGTAGTTGGGGGTAGTAGAGCATAAGGCAATCATGTTTTAAAACCCAGTACAGTGGGGTCGGGGCATAGTGAGGACGGGGAGATCACAGGTTTATAGGAATTTTTGAATCTGAAAGTGATAAAACCACTTTTGTAAAAACGCTTCGATGCAAATCAGTAGTTAGTATTTTCAAGTCAGTACAGTCCAAACCAAGCACAGTATAAGCCAGCAAAGTTAGAAAGTATTAAATTGAGGTGCTGTAGTTACAAATAAGCATCAAAGCGTTAATTTGAAAGTGATTTTATCCTAGAGGACTAGTACAGTAGAGTATAGGCATAATGGAATCAAAGCAACGAAGGGATTGAGAGGTCACATGTCTACAGGAATTATTATATATAAAAGTAATAAAATTAAATAAAACCACTTTTAAATAAACGCTTTGATGCTTATTTGTAAATACAGCACCTCATTTTAATATTTTCCAACTTTGCTGACTTATACTGTGCTTGGTTTGGACTGTATTGGACAATGTACAAAATAAAATGCAACAAAAAAATAATTTTCATAGATCCTTAAAATTGTTAAGAGTGGGGCAGTTAAACGAGCGATTTTCCCATTTAAATACATTGGAAAATCGCCCGTTTTACTGCCGTTTTAGAACACAGCATGAAGTTATTATATAGATATTAACTTCATGTTGTGTTCTAAAGAAAAATTGAGTTTCTAATTTATAATCTTACACTGGTACTGTGATGGAGAAAACAATTAATTTTACTTACATATATTACTTATTAGTTAAATATTACTAACGTTTATAGCCACTAGCTGTCAGCTGTTGCCTGTTACATTTATATATCTCTTTAAATAACAATATGCAAAACATTAGTGTTCCTTTAAAAAAATTGTGTAATATGAAATGAATTTTGGGACGGTAGATTGCATAAAAACGAACACCTAATCTAGATTCCATTAAATAACAGCCCTCTCCATAATTTGCATGTAGTTGGACATACACTCATAGTTGACTTTTGGTACAGTCGGCCGCGGGTGATAAAATAACGAGCTAACAAAACACGATGGTGGTTTTGCCGTGTCAGAACGATTAGGTGTCTTAATAAGTAGACAGGTCTACTTGGGTTTTTCCCCCAATAAATCGTGAACCTTCCGGCAATTAAAGAAAAACTGTATTGTCGAATTGTTTCTTCGTTTAATATATTTTGGATACATATGAGTTCTAACTGTTGACAAATTTTCAACTTTAAGGTCTTAAAATTACGGCTAAAAACCCTAAAAACAAAAAAACTTGTACCCCCTCTAGGAGGGTGGAAAATGGGTATAATTTAAATTTGATACAACTGACGTGTGCGGACATACCAATTAAATATTTTTAATAAATTTCAAAACTCCATTGAATTTAATATTTTATTTGTATGATTTAATAATGTCCAATGTCGGAAATCACACCACATAAAAAAATCAAAATAGGCAATATTAATAAGTGTCTAATTTATTTCTGCATCAATAATAATATCTAAATTTTACAGTCATGCTTAAGTTAAAATATTAAAACCACAAATTAAGTCAAAAAATAATTTAAAAAACCCCATACAGTACTTAAGAGTGATCATATAAATAAGGTACTCAACTTATCGTGAACCACTCAATACCTCACTGGGTTTAATAAATAATTGAGTTTTTTTTCCATAGTGTTTTTATACAATACGTGATCTCAATTTCTCACAATTTTTTTGTTTTTACCCCCTCCCAACTTGATTTTTTTGATAGCAACTTTTGAAACTTAAATGGTAACTCATACATTTCATTAATTTTTTAAATTGAGAATAATGTACTAACCAATTTGACTGGTTGTTAACCAATTTTGGATAACTATTATTAAAGTTATTAGAGTTTAAATGTTAGGATGGAAGGATAATATATATTACATATATTGAGACGTTCGAGAAAAAAAATGTAGCCTAAAATTCAAAACGGTTGACTTACGGTCAAAAACATGTTTTTAAATGGAAACCATATATTTTTTGTTTATCAAACAAATGTTCTTATAAAAATTATTAACTCTTGTGGGAAAAATGTTTCGATAAAATCCATAATTTGTGAATTAAGTCTCTTAAGATATTTTTAGCCTTGTTATTTTACTTTGATGCCTATGGTAACCGTGATACATGAAGTAATCTTGGGCATACTTGGCGTAGCCTAAATCTACTCATTCGCATAGTACTAGAAGGAAATCGTTTTATTAATTGGTTTTTTCATAGTAGGTTTATGCCCACTCCATAATAAATACATGGTACGGCACATATTGTTACAAATGAATATTCTTGGGTACTTCTACTAAGTACAGAGTACTGAAAATTAGAACTATTCATTCGATTTGCATATGTTTATTTTATGTTTTTCCATTTTTCCATTATTATTAATTTGAACCTTTATTTTTGGTTCACATTCCAGTTTGTATCCACGATGTTTTGGGGCTTATATTTCCTCGATCGCAATTTGGTAATGTCCAAATATTTGGATGTCTACTTCCCCAGCTGGTTAAACCACACTATGCACACATTTGTGTCCGTGTTTGCTTGCTTGGAAATGATCACTGCTTACCGGCCGTACCCGTCTCGTATTCATGGATTGCAAATAACTTCAAGTTATATTTTAACATACTTTGTATGGTGAGCACATCTTGATACGAATTTAATACAGTTACTCTTTTGTCAGTTTCGCTTTATAACATTTTCTATAATAATAAACGCCGTTTCTTCGTCCTACTAAGATTGTATTAGTAAAACTTTATATTTTATGACTAAGATTTCACACTCATTATTTTATTGGAGTCCTCTGGTTGTATTGACTATTACCACTATGACACTGCGTCGTTAAAATAAAAGTTTAAATTGTATGTCAAATACCTGCTGTTGAAGTAATAGTACAAATGTATGAGGCTTTTTTTTCAAAGTTTCTTTGAATCTACATATTGTAACGTATTATCATATGAAGGGCACAGGGGAAAAACGGTAGTTGTCACATTATGAAAATTCTAAATATAGCAAAAACAAAGTTCGTAAACTCCTCTACCTCTTACAAAATAACAAAAAAAATCACATTAAATGCTACTCTAATAATAAATGTATTTATTTAAACAATCTATTTCATAAATTTAATAAAATATTGGCATAAATTGAAAAAAACTATTTGGAAAAAAAAAGTTTCATAATGTGACTACTACCGTTTTTTCCCTGTGCCCTTCATATATAATACAATTATCATATTGATTTCATTGGTTTCTTATATGATTTAAATATTCTGGATTATTGTTTTATTGATTTCAGGATTCATATTGTATACAGCCAATGTAATTTGTGGGTGTACCCAATTCTCAGTCAACTAAACATGTTCTATAGGACGTTATTCTTTTTGGGGTTGTTCATACACAGCGCCTCGCTGTATTTAATTGGAGAATACACAAACCTAAAATTGTGGGATTTTCAACGTCAAAAGGTACAAAATGAGTAAAACATCCATTAGACTTTTATGCCTTCCGTTCTTTTAATATTTTTTCATGACTTATAATTTGTGGCGAACACCTAAATTAATGTGATTTCTATGATATACCAAAAAATACGGATTTTTATGATAAATTGTATAAAAAAAAATTAAAACTTATTATTTTATATTGTCAAAAGTCAAAAGAGGATACGGTCTTAGGAACATACTCAAGGTGCTCATGAGTTGTCGATGGTATTACGGCTGGAAGTCCAGATTCTTCACGGATGTTGAATAGCCGTCGTCACCGTTATTTAAATTGAGATTGTATGGAGATAGGATAGGTACAAAATTCGGTCGATTCGCAAGATAAGCGTAAGTTGTAAGGAAAAGTGTAATGTGTTGAACAAATGAACTGTTGCACTTAAGCCTCAAAGACAAACAGCGACAACCAAACAGTTTTATATCAGTTTATTTCTACTTGTTATTTTACATTTCAATTTATTTATAATTATTTACCAAAATACAATGCTATAGGTGATGAATTAATTAGCATTACACTGTTTTTATTTCCGTGTCACTCGTAACAAATTCAAACTATAACATGGAAAACCATTTGTTTGCAGATTCAAGAAAAACACCAATAAAGAAACAAACTGATCAACTAAAATTGTTGCATTTGATTTTGTGCTATTTTGCATGTGTAATACATAATATTACCTACATATATAATATTGTATTATTAAATATTGTATGAATTGTCATATGTGACCTTAATGAACATGCTGTTATAAATTATTTTATTTCCTCATATATAAATAATGTATCTTTATTAAACTATTCCTGTTTGTACAATTATTCAATGGACCATAAAGATTAATTTAGGATGTTGACTGTTAAATGAGTGTAACTGCTTAACTAACTTTATATTTTTTAACGACATTTTACGCTTTATATAAGATAACAACACACATTTGAAGCTATGACTGTTATATAAAAAAACGAATAGATACACCATTGAGAAAACTTGAAACAAACTAAACAAAAATATAATTGTAATTTTTTTTTTGACTATAAAATTTCATAAATATATATTTGGTTTAATTGTTTTCTTTTAAAATAGCGTAACTTTAACGATAACTTTAAATTAAAAATTTGGTAACATAGTATTACTCGTAGATAATTGGGTTGTGTTTTTATTATAGTTTTTGTTACTGAAACTTTATTAAATTTTTAAAAATCGAATATTAATTTAAATACTTTTTTATATAAAATTTTATTTGTACTTTAATAAATGTTACATTCGATACAAAAAACGTAAATCCAACAATAGCCAATAAATTCAAAATTAGACGACAGTAAAGTCTCCAGATTGAAGCCACAAATTTACAATTGCATTTTTTAAGCCTTATAGTGCATTACATTTAAAAAGAAATGTGGAAAATTACACATAAAACTATTATAGTGTATTATGTATAGACTCCAAAAGAAAAATTAATATTATAATATATACAATTAAGTTTATATTTCACAATTTTCATACAATTAAATTTAATATATTTTGCTGTATAATTATTTTATAGTAACTTTTTGTATAATAATGAATTTCTATTAAAAATCAAAGAACACTATTCAGTGTAAAAACAATACAATGTCCCATTCCCAGCCAATGCAAACTTATAACTATAAATATAATTGCAATGATGAAATGAATTAGATATTAAAATTGTCTTATATATAGTTGTTATCTTACGATCATAATAAGGAAAATTACCCAAGTATGAATAATTATACAGTTGAATTTATTTTTCACAATTTTCATTGAAATAAATGTAATATATTTTGCTGTATAATTTTTTGAAAGTGAATATTTGTATAATAATGATTTTATACTAAAAAACACAATTCATTGTAAAAACAATACAATGTCCCATTCCCAGCCAATACGGAAATTATAACTATAAATCGAATGGCAATGATGAAATGAATTGGATATTAGAATTGTCTTATATATAGTTTTTATATAACAATGAGAATTTAGACAATTACCCAAGTTTTAAATAATTAAGCATATAATTGCGCGTAAAATCAAAAAAAATAGTAGTGAGGTATCCACATAAATACCAGTCATAAATACCCAGGAGTTTAAGGTAGTTGTAGCCATTCATTTACAAAAATCAGTGGACTTGGCACAAATATTCAAAATGTTACAAGCGTGGGCTTTATTAGCGTTTATTTTGCCGGTTGTAGTTTTTTCTAGTGAAATCGTTTTTGATAGTCAAAACGTTTTTACCGATACAAAAAATATAGTTTTACCGAACACGATTAATTCAAAATTGGATGACAGTAATGCCACGGGACTCGAGCCGGTTTATCCTGAGAGCTGGTTAGCCAATCTCTTCTATCAATCGTTAGTGGGGTTCTCAGTCACAGATGTTGGAAATTCGGCTTGTCGACTACAGTCAAATTTGTACTTAAGCCATTTAAAAAATAACTCCTACTGGGCAGTAAAAAGTAAGCGTTGTTCACTGACCAAGTAACCGTAAGTCTATATTTTCGTTTTAATCTTGTGGATGTCTTTATAAACGTTACGTTAAGAATTATTTTAATATTCAAATTTTTTAACAAAAATTAATCAGATAAAAAAAGACAGTTGCTTCTCCTAATGTGAAGATAAATTTAATCAAAACTGCATCACTACATCAAAATGTTGCTTTAAATTAAAAAAAAATGAATTTATTATCAGTTTTTTTTTAAATTTACAATAGTTTTTAAGACACTATGTTTTATTTTCACTAGAAAAAACTTAATAGTAACGTTAAGAATAATTATTACCAGTAGTATAACCACTGTACCGCTTTCTTCGTGTAGCACCTATATAAATCGGAAATTACTGAAAAGTACTTTAAAAATATTTATAAATTCATTTTTTTTCCCGTCAAAATTGAGAAAAATAGCACAAAAAAAATTGCAAATTTATTTGGAGTATATTTCATTTATATTACTGTTGACAAGCATTGACAAACCAACAAAGTAACAATAACATAGAAGGAATAGATATATTTTCTTTATATCACCACTTCTAGTAAAGTTTTAAAAAACATTTTTTTGGTTTTTTTAATAGTTTTTAAGAAATTGACAGGCGTATTCCTAATAAGTCCCGTACAATTTTTAACTAGGTCCAACCACAAAAATTTTATTTTTAATTGTAGAATACGAAATATAATTTATCAACTTTAGAATTTAGGTATCAAATTATATTTTCATGTCTGTAAAGTGAACCATTCAGATACAATTAATGATCTGTAGCCTTTCAACATAAAGAAATCGGTTCAACAATTTATCCAGTATCAAAAAAAAAAACCAGTAAAGTGGTGTCGGAGCATAATGGGGACGGAGAGGTCAGAAGTCAGATTTTATTATAACTGAAAGTGATAAAATCACTTTTAAACAAACGCTTCGATGCGAATCTGTGGATAGTATGTTCAAACTAGTTATAGTGGTTTAGAAGATATCGTGGGACCAGCAATAATGTACTTAAAATTGAATATTTAGTTTTGTGCAGGATGGATCGTCTGTCTATAAAAATGTACTGTCATAGTTACCCATATATCGTAATAAACAATAAAATGAAATTATTTTCATTACCTGTTGACTGTTGATTCACACACACATAACAACCAAGGAATTGACTACGGCCAAATTGTAAATTTACTCTATTTTTGGGGTTTTTCCTTAATAAAAAAAAATTTGACTACAGATTTTTGAGAAAATTATATGTATTATAGTTATATTTTAGATCTACCTTTGGTCTAATTTTCAGATCTAAATCTCTTAAACTTTGCTTGAAAAAGTGAAATAAAGAAAAAAATTCTATCCCTCCTAAGGGAAAGGGTTTATGGTATTTTTTTGGTTTGTTAATGTTCATCGATAGTACTATGTTTGAAAAACAATTCATATAAATTTGGAACATTTCTGACTATTTTTAAAAAAGTTATAGAGCATCGTAATTTTAAGTTGAAAAGTTTGTACATTTTTTAGGAGTTTTTCTCAATTTTGACAGGGAAGGAGTGACTATTTTTAATTTTTGGCCTAATACAGTACCTTCCAAGTATGATTTCTTATCTATACAGTTGCTACACGAAGAAATCGGTTCGGCGGTTTACGAGGTATCGTGGGTCCAAACACAAAAAAAAATAGAAATAAAAACACATTATTGTAAAAACAATAACTTCTCAGCATCGCATCGAAGCTAAAATACAAATTATTGTGTAAGAATATATTTTTAATTTCCCAATCAAGGTAGAATTGTTTATTAAGTATAATCTCAATGATGGAAATTATTTAAATAATCGAATTGTCTTAGTAGTTTAAGCTTAAGAGTTACTTGATTAAAATTATATTTTTTATTGGAATACATTTAAATATATTTTATTTTATAATGTTTACATAATATTAATAACATTAATCGGTTACATTGCATTTTATAGTGTCAGATTCATGGCCTAGATACCTAAACGGATTATTAATAGGCAACACACATCACATGGGCGTTTATGACGAGTGCATTAGTGTGCATCATCCTATTCAAGGAAAATATTGTTTGTCAACCATCGAGCTTCAAACTTCAACAAACGAAAACTTCACCCAGTACAGTAAAGATGAATACACCAGTTTCGATAATGCTTGGCAAGAGATACTCGGGGTAAATTTAATATTCAAAACAATACGTAATTATGCATGATATTAAGAATATTGATAATGAGTTAGTTGTGTAACACGCCAAAACCGCCAAAAGTAAAAACATTTTCTTAACAATTTTTTATTGGCTGAAGAAATGGGAAAACGAAATGAGACGCGACAGATCTTCAATAGTGATTTAGATAGATTTCAATAGATTTTATTAATAGATCATGATGTATTTGGTGATATTACATTCATTTGACGCCCATATGTTTTCTCATCTTTTGTTAGTGACCATGCACCTACTGTATACGTGTGCTAGGAATTAGCAAAAAACATAATTATAGGTTTATCATTATCTATGCATTCAGAACAAAAGAGTTATTTTATGGAATGCTAAAGGAGACTTATAAATAGTTTTTCTCTTTATATGACCTATTAAATGTTATTTGTTTAATTCAACAGTTTATCGATTATGGTGACCGGTATAATAGAAATGTTATCAAACTCGGCGTCTGTATACCAGAGGCGTGTACATCCGAAGACCTTGAAGTTTCATTACAAAGAGAATTGGATCGTATATTCCTAGCACATCAACTAAGTACCCAAGTCAAAGTTAAACCAGATTATTGTAACACCAACATAAGTTTTTTCCCGTACGACACAGGATATTATTTAACATGGTAAGCATGTTAGGAAAGCAAGGAAGATGCTTCCATCGGAATTTCAAACAAAATAAAAAAATCTCTAAATGATATTGAGAAAGTATTTTTGGGAATTGGTTCAAAAATGTATTTAAGATTTTACCTTACACCTTGGGAGGCTGGACACTTGTAAATAATTTTACAAATATTATAAGAAGCTTTTTACGTAATGTTTTAATTTAAAATACATACTTTGAAATCTATTTTATTCCAATATTTTTTTTTAACAGATTTTTAATTTGTAAATGGGGCATTCTGAGTCAAACCACGCAGTCATTGACCTAACCTCCTCAAATTGTTTTGAAATTTTCTTTTTAAACTTCTTTTGGTCTAATACAAGACTTTTGTTTTTGACATTTTCATGTCTTAGCTCTGGCACATAACCGAAAAAAGCGTTACCAAAAAAGAAATGGGGTTGAAGATGAGGTTGGGGGTGGGAATTAGTCGGTATAAACCCGAAAAAAAGTGTTACCAAAAAAAGCGTTACGCTGTTATCTGATATGAGATAAGAGATAGGGGTGAGTGATAGGGGTAGGGGAAAGAGGGTGGGAGATAGAGGTGGGACATAGGGGGTTAGTGATAGGGGTTGGGAGATAAGGGGTGAGTAATAGGGGTGGGAGATAGGGGGTTGGCAGATAGTGGGTAGGGGATAGGGGTAAGATATAGAAGATAAGAGATAAGAGATATGTTGTACGTTTTACGTTCAAATTAGAATTAAATAATAAATTCAAAACAGTTTGAAGGGCCCAAATTCTCTATGAAATGTTTTGAGCCAGATAACAAACACTACAATTTTAGCCAGAAACTTGACGTTTTAATATACTAGCTTGTTACTGCTTCTTAATATACTATATAATTATCTACAATTCCACCACTACTCTAAATTTATTCGGTACTTCAACGAGACATAAAAATGTTCTATCGTGGTTGCAGACTCGGCTGAAAATAGCTGATTTTTTTGAAATTTGTATCATTTATTTTTTACCCCAAAAATAGAAGTTTTTTAAGTTATTTAAAAAAAAAAATAGATTTCGACCAGTATTCAATTTCTGAAATTTTTATCATAAAATCAGAATCTTAAAACAAATCTTTTTGTCTAATAATGGGAGTGGCTGAGATTTATTTCTATTTTTTTTTTAATAATGAAAATTTTCCAGGCTGGTCACCCATCCTGGATCAAGCAGTAACAGACACAGCTTAACCTCAGATGCCGGGTGGTACACTTCGTCCACACTAGGCCTCTGTATTATTTTTAATGTTATTCGTAGGAACATTTTTCCTTTTTTACTCCCAAAATATAAATAAAATCAAAATTTTCCAAGGTATGTTGTTTACGTCGTTGCTATCACGGCGACGTATTAACATCCGGTGCAAACTATTTTTAGCTACGACAAACCCAATGTTTTGTTTACATAGCTGTCGTTGTCACGGCTGCTCAACATTCTCAATATATACTATTTTTGCCTACGGAAAACCAATCCTTTGTTCGCTTAGTTATTGTTGCACAGCCGCACAACATTTCCGCTACAGCCAACCCTCCGACCAATGAGAGTGCTCGCACCGCCACACCCACGACCAATCAATAGCACCCATGCTCCAGCGTGAGAATATATAACGAGGTCCACACAAGCTTATGAGTCAGTCGCTCAGAGGGATCAAAGGAGTCATCATCTCTTACAACCAGATCCAGGTCCAACCCCATATTGGTGTCCACACGCTGGTGTCCATTCACTAGTTGGTGCGGCCACTTGCCCACATGTTGGTACCTCCACTGGTCCACATGCTGGCGTTTTATGATAAAAATTTCAGAAATAAAAAACTGGTCAAAATCAATTATTTTGAAAAATAACTTTAAAAAAACTATATTTTGGGGCAAAAATTAGTGGTAAAAATTTCAAAAAAATTTAAGTCTTAAGTATTTTAGACCAAAAGAAGTTTAAAAAAAAATTTGAGGAGGTCAGGTCGATGACCGCTTGGTTTGACTCAGAATGCCCCATACGTATTAAATCCCCGGTGTACGTTTTGTTTAGTATTTGTATTGCCTTGCTGATTTTGGTCGTTTCATTTTCTACGGCTTACCATTTAGTTGCTTTACGCAATGTACGAGAAAACAAAATATGTAAGTATACAATAATGAAAAACAATAGATAGTTCTTTTGTATTGAAAATACTATTATTTTTAATTTATATATTTTTTGGTTTACAATTAATATTTTTAACTAATTCTTTAACTAATAAGTCGCATAAATAATAATAAATGTACAATTCTCATGGCATGGACAAAATAATGTAACTCGACATGCTTAATGATTCAATAAAACCAAAGCCATAAGGCATACCTACCCAAAATCGTATAATTTTTCATTAAAATAAAAAATATATAACTTTTTTTATAGCTAGCGATTATTTATTGAACATAATTGCTTAGTCCATGCTTTTTTACAGCTCAAGTTTCGGAAATTACAAATATATTTTCCATAATATCAAATGGAAAAGAGCTCCTTAAGTTCAAAAAGAATAATGAGCTCAATATGTTTAACGGTTTGTCATCATCTTTAATGATGTTGATTATAATATCACATGGATGGATAGTTAGTGTCGCTGCTCCGCATTTGTACCCGCGGCCAATAGAAGAGGTAAACTGTTTTGTTTTTTCCCTTATTATCACATACATGCTGTTTTAAACACTTATTTTTTTTCATACATCACATACAACATGTTATAAACACTTAAAATAAGTTATTACTGTTTTTATTGTAAATCTAATAAATTTCATTATACCTAATCTCATCTTTTTCATCAACCAATGATAAAAATGTACTAATGAAATAATTATATTTTCTTATCTTAGTTTTTTCAAGATACCCACAATAATTTTTTTTTAAGTTTAAGTAATGGAATTGACCCTTTCCTATTTATTTCTGGTTACATCTTATACACAATTATGATTACCAAGTTCAGAAAACCCGGGTGCAATTGGTTTCAAATTCCAAAGATAATTATCTACAAGTATCTAAAGTAAGCCATGCCCTTCTTATAATGATTTCATATTCAACTAGAACTATATTTGTATGCTTATTATTTCAGATCTCTTCCGGTTCACATCACGATGATACTTCTTACGATATTTATTATCCCTCATATGGGGAATGGACCTTTATGGGCAAACAAATCGGGTTTAGAAGCAAACAAATGCAAACAATATTGGTGGACTAACCTATTGGTTATTAATAATTTCATTGAAGGTGAAAAACAGGTAAGTAGTATAATCTGAGTACTTCTAATTTGACAGTTTATATTTTGTTATAATAATTATGCCTACTGGAATTTTAGTGTCTCTTCGCTGGTTATTACATTTCATTACAACTCCAGTTGATGGTTATTGGAATTATCGTCGTTTACATTTATGGAAAAAACCGTAAAATCGGTACTGGTGTATTAGCATTGCTGATTTCCGCGTCGTTAATCCTTCCATTTGCTTTAACTTATTATTCAAAATCAGAAGGAATTACCAAATTCAATATATCGTAAGTATTTTCAAATATTTCTCTTTTATAAATATACTAAGTCTTTGGCATACGATGAAAAATGCTAGTTGTTTATACAGATTAAATCTAGTGGCTTAAAATTATATTAAAAACTAAAAACTTGCAACATTTTATATTGGATATCATAATCTTCTCAATGTATAATAAGCTTCAAGGTTCAGAATTCAGGGACAAGCAAAGATGTCTTGTGGCTATTTGTATAGTACGACCAATTAATAAATCTAGCAGTAGTCATAGAAGTCGCCGTTGCTGGGGCTGAGCTTAAAGAATAGGATGATATTATTTTAAAGTTGTGCAAAATGAACTAAAAAACATCTCTCAACAAAATGTGTAAATATAATATTATTTCAGTACCCTTCGAATTTTGTTTGAAACGAAATTGTATTAATAACAATCGAATCCTTATCCTTTATGGGATCACAAACCCGTTTTGGAAACAACAGAAAACCTAATTTTACACAATGGTAGTTTTACCTCTAAATCCATTTTTTGGCTTCTATTAGTTTTTTAGAAAAAGTACATCTGTATTATGCTTAGCTTGTACTTAGTAAAGTAATAGTAGTAGTATAAGCAATGCAATGTTTTTAAGATGTTTACAATATATTTTTTTGATAGGTTTTTCTTAAATTTAAGTGAGTCGACTAGGTCATACTCATATCATTTCACGCATCTATACAGCAAGCTTTATGTACGGGGTTTACCATTTTATATTGGACTTTTATCAGGTATTATTGTCGAAGTTTTTAAAAAAAAGTATATCAAAATGTCTAAGGTAATTGTATAACAATACAGATAACAATTATTTTTGTCATTTAAAAATAAATAATTTATTTTTTAGACAACTACTATTATAACTACTATGGTCGCCTTTGGTCTTTACATGTATGTCCAATTGTACAGTAATGTATTTTATCAGAGGCACAGGGATTACAATGTCATGGAGTCATCTTTGTATACAGTCCTAGGCCATTTAAATACGTCCTTATTGTACCTGTGGATCGCTATCTGTCAAACGACTTCTAGTGATTGTATGTAATATCTATGCAATCTCATTTTCATAATAGTAATCAAGTTTATAAATTATTAACTTGTTTTCCACGTTTACTGATCACTCTTCCATCGTCTTTTTTATGCAATACATTCTATATATAATATATTTGTATATCATTATTCTACTAATTACTCTTTTTTCAAATATTTTGTTGAGATGTTGGTAAAAAACAAGTACAACATATTAACATGTAGAATTACAAAACCCAAATTTTCATCTTTATGTATATCTTTATTTATGAACGTTGAAACATTAATAGTATACTTGAATGTATATTTTATTTCATTCAATTTTTTAATCAAGATTATTTTACCAGACATTTTTACTGGTTGTAGCCAGTCCTGATTAATTACCTAATAAACTAAAGTCTAACATTTTGGTTTAGTAATGAACGTTGATAACGATGATACTACTCTCTAGCCTTCTTCTCGCTATGAGTATTGAACATAATTATTTAACCCAAAACGTAATTGATCATAACTGGTTGTCGACCAATTGAAATATCTAGGAAACTATTCTCGGTTTAAAATGTCAATTAAATATGTACGTTATATTTGTATTTCAAAAATTATTAGAGCTCTCGAAAATACTTAACTAATGTCGAATAATTAATATATTTAAAATGTTTTAATAGAACTTATCAAACTTATTTCCAACAAAATAATTATACAAAATAGCAATTATTTTTCAAGTAATATTGAACGTCTTACGTTAAAATATGTTTCATCCCGTAAAAGAAAGAATCATGTAACTTTTATATTATCAATTATTCGTAGATTTTCTAGAAAAATACCTGAACAAACGATTCCGTATTTTATTACACAAACTCTCTTATTCAATATACCTGGTCAATCTTACCGTAACATATATGATAGTATCCTCAGTACGGACATCCGAAGTACTGACATCCGGAATAATCGTAAGTTATTTTTAATTAATATTTAATAGTTATAAATGACATAGAACACATATGTTATTAAAATCATTTAACACGAATGTCAATAATAATTTATGACAAGTCTCATGCATTGAATTTTTATCTACGTTTACATTGCTCCATGGACCATACAGTCGACATAACTTAGTCACTTAGTGTGTGTGTATATTGATAAACATTTTAATAATAAATACATTTTTTTATTTTAGATTATGAAATGTATTTATATAATATTAACGTCATTGTTATCGGCTCTAATAATGCATTTGTTTGTTGACGCACCGTTTGGTTTATTGATAAACAGAGTTCTTTTGGGAAGGTAAACTATACCATACTTATAACTATAATCAAAATGATGTATTTTTATAGTTATATGATTAATGAAAATTAAACTTGTTGGTTATAGATCTAGCAGAAAAGTAAAAAACGATTAACACGGAAAAAATGCAAAAAGTCCACTCCAAAACAAAATCACACGACTAACCTATAAGTTTATGCACTTGCTCTAAGCTCAATAATTATTATTCTAAAAGAGAGTGGTTTTAATTATATTAAATTGTCATCACTTATAATGCATGTATTGTATACTTTTTTTTTTTAATTGTAAATTTCTAGTTTTAATTGTCATTTTCATGTGTTTATATATTTTATTTGTGAAGGGTAAATTTAATTAGATAGGATCAATGCAATTAGAGCAAATATTTTACAGAAAATAACCTTTCGTTTAAATTGATTTGGCCTATTACAACACTGTAACATCAGCTAGTTAAAATAAAATATGTTCAATTATTACTGTTCAGTGTTAGTTGTGTTTAATTATATACAGAGTGCCTACTTCATTTTGGGTAAAACACATGGTTTCTCGGAAGATATTAATATATCGGAGAAAAAAATTTCCTTTTCTCTTTTGACAAAAATAATATAATAGGTAATTAGAGTATAATAGGTAATTTAATACAATACGAGTTCAACTAGCGTTTTTAAATTATGTTTAATTTTGAAAAATTAGTATTATAATAAATACAATTGAAATTATATTTCACAATTTTCAGTAATAAAATTTAATATATTGTTGTATTATTATTTTGTAGTGAATTTTTATACAATAATAAATTTATATTAAAAATTAAAAAACACAATTCATTGTAAAAACAATACAATGTCCCATTCCCAGCCAATGCAAAATTATAACTATAAATATAATGGCAATGATGAAGTGAATTGGATATTAGAATTGTCTTATATATAGTTGTTATATAACAGTGAGAATTTAGACAATTACCCAAGTTTTAAATAATTAAGCATATAATTACGCGTAAAATCAAAAAAAAAAAAGTAGTTCATTCCATTCATTTACAAAAATCAGTGTAGTTAGCACAAATATTCAAAATGCTCCGAGCGTTGGCTTTATTAGTGTTTATTTTTCCGGTTGTAATTTTTTCTAATAAAATCGTTTTTAATAGTCAAAACGTTTCTACCGATACAAAAAATATAGTTTTACCGAACACGATTAATTCAAAATTGGATGACAGTAATGCCACGGGACTCGAGCCGGTTTATCCTGAGAGCTGGTTAGCCAATCTCTTCTATCAATCGTTAGTGGGGTTCTCAGTCACAGATGTTGGAAATTCGGCTTGTCGACTACAGTCAAAGTTGTACTTGAGTCATTTAAAAAACAATTCCTACTGGGCATTAAAAAGTAAGCGTTGTTCACTGACCAAGTAATTATAAGTCTACGTTATAGTTTTAATCATGTTGATGTCTAAATAAACTAGCTAGGGAAAACCAAACTACACATATAACAATGTCCATCAACATTGCTCTAGAAACAAAAAATTCTAGACTTATTCTTTTTTAGCAATACAGTTAGGGCAATATTCTCTCTCCGTTCGTTTTTAAATTCAAAAAATTGGTTTTCATATTATATTTTTTTTTACTAGGAAAAAAATTCCCGTTGATATTTTTTACACCCTTGTTATCCATTTATACTATTTTTTTATCAGAACAGTATTTAAATTTCTTATACCTATGAAAAGTATAGAAAGTGTTTATTTATTTTTTTATTACTTATACATTAATATGTGTTCTCAAGTAGGTTATTTATTTATGTTTTTGATATTTTCACCTTAATCAACGTACAATAGCAATCATGATAACACATGATGCTATATTATTAAATAGCTAATACTAACTAAGTAATATTGGCTTCTATAGTTTTATGACTATGCATAATAAATATGAAATATAATAGTAATGTTAAGAATTATTTTAATACTCAAATTGTTTAAAAAAAATAATCAGATAGAAATAGGCAGGTGCTTCCCCTAACGCGAAGATAAATTAAGTCAAAACTACATCACTACATCAAAATATTGCTTTAAATAAAAAAAAATGATCAGTTTTTTTTTAATTTATAATAGTTTTTAAGACACTATGTTTTATTTTCACTAGAAAAAATATAATAGTAACATTAATAATTATTAGCTTCGATGTGGAGCTCGGAACAATGACTTTTTTTTTGTATGTACCCACGAAATCGTTGAATCCGCTAAAGTGATTTCTTCGTGGTAAATCTATGAACCAGAAACTATACCTAAAAAGTTATTTTATAAACCAAAAACTTATTAAGTCATCCCCATCAAAATCCAGAAAAACACGAAAAAAATCATTTTTTGTAACAAAACATTGTCCCATTACTATTTTTAAAGAGTCTAATGAAATCCAAATTGTATTTAAGTATACTTTATTCACTGGCGATAAAAATTTAAAACTAAAAAAATTCATACATTTTGGCCTAGAAAAAAAGAGACATCTATTCTTTATTTCACTATTTGAAGAAAAGGTGAATAACTAAACATATATAATAAGATTAAAATTTTTTATTTTTCATTGGAATTTATTTAAATACATTTTATTGTATAATGTTAACATAATGTTAATAACATTAAATTTCAGTGTCAGATTCATGGCCTAGATACCTAAACGGATTATTAATAGGCAACACACATCACATGGGCGTTTATGACGAGTGCATTAGTGTGCATCATCCTATTCAAGGAAAATATTGTTTGTCAACCATCGAGCTTCAAACTTCAACAAACGAAAACTTCACCCAGTACAGTAAAGATGAATACACCAGTTTCGATAATGCTTGGCAAGAAATACTCGGGGTAATTTATTCATTTATTTTTGTATTGAACAAAGATTTAACAATTCGGTTAATTGAAACATACTATTGATAATAAACTAAAATATATGTGAATCAGCCGGCATGATATTACGAATGTTAGTAATAAGTTAGTGGTGTACGGCGCCAAGGAAAGTCAAACAATTTTTTTGTAAATTATTTGTTGGCTGAAAAATGTAAGAAATGAAATACAAAGCCTCAGATCTCCAGTAGTGATTTTATAACTGAATCTGGTGTTAAAACTTTTCTTTCAATGCTCAACTGTTTTCTCTTAGTCACCCTATTATAATTTATAAGTGACCATAAATCATATACGTGTGCTAGAATTAGCATAGAAAACATAGGTATATGTTTTGATTTGAACATTATCCATTAATTTTGCAGTCAAAACAAAAAGGAAAAAATGATGAAATGCTAGAGGAGAACAATTCGATTTAATAAATTAATCGCTCAATATAATACATTAAATAGAAATAAATATACTTTTTTCTTTGTACGTCCTTATACGTTTTATTTAACAGTTTATCGATTATGGTGACCAGTATAAAAGAAATGTTATCAATCTCGGCGTCTGTATACCAGAGGCGTGTACATCCGAAGACCTTGAAGTTTCATTACAAAGAGAATTGGATCGTATATTTCTAGCACATCAACTAAGTACCCAAGTCAACGTTAAACCAGAATTATGTAACACCAACAAAATTTTTTTCCCGTACGATACAGGATATTATGTAACATGGTAAGCATGTTAGAGAAGCAAGGAAGATGTCGGAATTTTAAACAAATTAAAACAGTATCTTTAGGGCCTTATAAACCAAACTATACGCTAAGAAACTATTTTTGGGAATTAGTTCAAAAAGTTATTTTAGATTTTACCTTACATCTTGGGGGACTGAAAGTTTGTGAATAATTATGCTAATATTTCAGAAAAGCTTTTTACGTGTTTAAATATTTTAGAATACAAAATTACTGTTTTATCCAAATATTTTTTTTAAACAGATTTTTAATTTGTAAATATATTGAATGGTTGGTATATTTATCGTTTAGCATTGTTATTGGTTTGCTGATTTTGGTCGTTTCTTTTTCGACGGCTTACCATTTAGTAGCGCTACGCAATGGACGAGAAAACAAGCAGTGTAAGTGTAACATACATTATGATTTAACCAACACCACGGGATTTTAAAGTGTTTTACAGCTAGTAAATACTGTTTATCCAGTGATTATTATTATTTTTGTTTGTCCAAGACATAACTAACCTTAATACAGTGTGATCAACTTATCGTGAACCACTTAATATCTCACTGGGTTTAAAAAGAAAATAAATGTTTTCCTTAAATAGTGCTTTATGTAAAAATGTTGTTTGGTCGACAACCAGTTATGGATAACTATTAAGTATTATTTTTTTTATCTGCGCGCATTACCGACAGCAATTCCCCTCCCATGCTTAATTTTCAACTCTTATAACATTAAAAATAGTTATTCAAAACTGGTTGTCAATATTTTTAGTACTTTCTTCTCAATTTATAAAGTTTATAAAATGTATGCGTTACCGTTTATGTTTCAAAAGTTGCTTGCAAAAAAACTTGTTTGGAGGGGGATAAAAACAAAAAAATTGTGAGAAATTGTGAGATCATATTATATAAAAACATTTCGGAAAAAAATGTCATATATTATTAAATCCAGTAAGATATTGAGTGGTTCACGGTAAGTAGATCATACACAAGAAAAAAAATACTATTTTAAAGCTATCCCCTATCTATAGAATATAAAAGTTTAGTCAATGTTTTATTTTCAGTGCAAGCTTCGGAAATTACAATTATATTTTCCGTAATTACAAATGGAAAAGAGCTCTTTAAATTCGATAAGAACAATGAGCTTAATTTTTTTAATGGTTTGTCAACAAATACAACGATGATGGTGATAATATCTCATGGATGGTTGATTAGTGTCACTGGTCCTTATTTGTACCCTAGAGTAATAGAAGAGGTAAAACATGTTGTTTTTTATTTTATTATCATATATTACATCCAACATGTTATGAACACTCAAAATATGTTATTGTTGTTTTTATTACTTTGTTATTGAAAAATCAATAAATTTAGATTTACCTGATCTCAACCTTTTCTTCAGCTAATGTTAAAAATATACTAACGACAAATAATATTTAATTTATCTTAGTCTTTTCAAGATGCCCACTACAATATTTTTTTAAGTATAAATAATGGAGTTGACCCGTTTTTATTTATGTCTGGTTACTTGTTATACTCGATTATGATTACCAAATTCAGACAACCCGGATGTAATTGGTTCCAAATCCCAAAGATGTTTATCTACAAGTATCTCAAGTAAGCAATGGCCTATTTATCGTGATTTACTCTTCACAATTTACAATTAGAACAATAAATGTATGCTTATTCTTCCAGATCAATTCCGGCGCACGTCGCAATGATACTTCTTACGATATTTATTATCCCTCATATGGGCAATGGACCTTTTTGGGCGAACAGAATGGATTTGGAAGCAAACAAGTGCAAACAATATTGGTGGACTAACCTATTGGTTATTAATAATTTCGTTGATGGAGGAAACCAAGTGAGTAGTAAAGTCTGAATATTTCTGATTTCATAGAGAACATTATAATGAAAATTATGGTTATTGGAATTTTAGTGTCTCTTCGCTGGTTATTACATATCTTTACAACTACAGTTGACGGTTATTGGAATTATCGTCGTTTACATTTATGGAAAAAACCGCAAAATCGGTGCCAGTGTATTAGCCTTGCTGATTTCCGCATCGTTAATCATTCCGTTTGCTTTAACTTACTATTCAAAATCAGATGGAATTACCAAATTTAATATATCGCAAGTATTTTTAAATATTTAATAAAGTTTACGTTATTTAACGTTTAGTGTTTAAATTATTTTTTTTTTTTATTTTATAGATTTATGTTAAACATAATGCAATCAACTAGTTCTCACTCATATGATTACACGCATATATACAGCCAGCTCTATGTACGGGGTTTACCATTTTATATTGGGCTGTTAGCGGGTGATATTGTCGAAGTTCTTAAAAAAAAGGAGATCAAAATGTCCAAGGTATAACATTACAGTTGACTGTTTTATTAATTTTTGTCTAAACAAATGTATTTTTCAGACAACTACTCTTATAACAAATCTGATAGCCTGGGGTCTTTACATGTATGTCCAATTGTACAGTAATGTATTCTATCAGAGGCACAGGGCTTACAATGCAATTGAGTCTTCTATGTATGCAGCCATTGGTCATTTAAATACGCCCTTACTCCTTATGTGGTGTGCTATCTGTCATACGACATCTAGTTATGGTACGCAATATCGACGCATTTATATTTCCATAATAACAAGTAATCAAGTGTAAAAACTTATTTTTCCACGCAGAGTTACCCATCAAAATATCTTCTTTTTATGATTTAATAATTTCTTTACATTTTTATCTAACACATCATATACTTCGATGTACATCATTATTGTCCTTTCTACATATTTGTCAAATAGATATGCTGGTGACAAACAAATGCGCAAGATGATATATTTAATGTAAGCCACTCGTTTTCTGTAAAAATCATTTGTTTTTAATTTCGGATACAATCGTTAGATATACAGAATTAAAAAAATATTCAAGTTCTTGTTTTTATGCTAAATATTTTTTTTTAACTTTGCCACTTAAATATTAGGTAGTATATTTATATATATATATATATATATATATATTTATTCATGTTTCAACCCATCACTTTAAAAAAATTAGGTAGGGAGGTCGATTACAAAAACCTAAAAAGTAATTTTTCATAGCTGGTGTTGACCAATCTAAATATCTAGGAAACTATTCTTTATTTAAAAATGGTATTAAATATGTACGTTACATTTCAGATTCAACAATAATTAATAAAGCTCTAGAAAATACTAAATAAGGATAAATAGTTAATAAATTAAAAATTATGTATAAGAACATAATACACATTTTTTCAATAAGAAAATACTATAAAATTGCAATTTTTAAGCGATATTGAGCGTCTTGCGCAAATAATATCATTCCGTAGAAGAAAAGAACAATGTAACTTTTATATTAATTTTATCAATTATTCATAGGTTTTCTAGATAATATATTGAACAATCGATTCATTAATTTATTACACAAACTCTCTTACTCAGTATACCTAGTCAATGTTACTTTAACATTAATGATAGTATTCTCTGTACGGGCATCTGAAGTACTCACATCTGGAATGATCGTAAGTGTTTATTATTTAAAATTTAATAGTTTAAATAAAATAAAAAACAAATGTTACTGAAATAATTTAACAAGAATGTTCAATAATAATTTATGGAAAGTCGCATTTAGACATTTTAATAATAAATATATTTTTTAATTTTAGGTTATGAAATTGATTTATATAATGTTAACGACATATTTAGCGGCTCTAATAATGCATTTGCTTGTTGACGCGCCGTTTGGTTTATTGATAAACAGACTATTTTTGGGAAGGTAAACTATACCAAACTTATTACTATAATTCAAAAGCATGTATTTTTATAATATACGAGTAACTAAAATTAAATTTATTGGTTATGGAAGACCTAGCACAAAAGTAAAAGAAAATTGACGAATTCAAAATGTGAAACAGTCCACTGCAAAACACGACAAACCTATAAATATTGTGTACTTTTTTCTAATTGTAAAACCTCAATTCTATAAAATATGTAGTTTCGGCTGATATTTTAGCCATGTTCTTTGTTAGTAAAAGTATTTTTGAATAACAAACTTTTTTTTGGCTCTAATATTTTTTTTTTAAAATTGAAGAATGGCAGATAAAATATAAATATGTCTATAGTTTTCGGCATAAGATCGGTCACCTGATTTAAATTTGGTTGGGTAAAACTAGATTTCCACATCTCAGGAAATACACCAGAGTTTAAGCTCTAGTAATAAAGCTTTTAAATAACTAAAATAATTTGTTTTGTATTCCCGCCACAAGTATAAGTATAATGTACTGCTTTTTAATGTATTGTATCACGATTAAGTTCGAATTTATAAAATGTATTATTTTAATGTATTTAATATATTAATCATTATTGTAGTAACTATTCTATGATTCATTTATTTTTAAAAGATTTCACAGCTAATTTTATTTAACTAAGTAGTAATATTTTTGAATAAATAACATAAATATGAAATAAACTTTGAATAAACACAATTTTGGAGATTTCAATTTTACAGAATTTTTAAGGGACTAATTTGTATGATTTTATACACATTCGTATAATATATAGGACTCGGTTTCGTACGTGAAGTAATACATATGTGATCACGGTTCCGTGATCACGTGAATAAAAGTAATATAAAACCCGTATGTTTAATTCACGTGAATTCGTTGTACGAAATTCACGTGATCACGTAAATTAATATTATTCACGTGAGTATTCACGTGATATCACGTGATATCACGTAATATCACGTGACTCACGTGAATAAAATTATAAATTCACGGACAATTTCCAATCACAGGTCTTATAAACTCGTGATTAATTTCACGTGAAATAGGGAGCCCTAATAATATACATGTATATTATTATATTTAAATGTAAATACAAACATTTATAAGATCAATCAATTATTTTACTTGCTTATAATGTTTAGTTGTTAAAAAAGAAATATTGTTTTAAATTTAGTCATGAAAATGATGCATTGGAAATGAGCATCAAAGCGTTAATTTGAAAGTGATTTTATCCGAGAGGACTAGTACAGTAGAGTATTGGCATAATGTAATCAAAGCAATGAGGAAACGGAGAGGTCACAGGTCTACAAGAATTATTATAAATAAAAGTGATAAAATTGAATAAAATCGCTTTCAAATAAACGCTTTGATGCTCATTTGTAAATACAGAACCTTCATTTAAAACTTTCTAACTTTGCTGGTTTATACTGGTGCTTGGTTTGGACTGTACTGGCTTGAAAATACTAACTACCGATTTGCATCGAAGCGTTTTTTCGAATGTGATTTTATCACTTTCAGATTTAAAAATTCCTGTAAACCTGTGACCTCCCCATCCCCAATATGCCCCGACCCAACTATGTTCCGTCCCCACTATGCACCGACCCCACTGTACTGGTTTTTTTTTTTTTGCAAAAACTTAGTGGACCAAATAACACATATACAATGTCTTGTTATATTTTGTTGGAATGGTCGACGATTCATGTTCCAATCGTTTGTGCTCCATAGTTTAAATTATAATCGCTTATTCTCAATAAAATTAATATTTATGTATCATGTACTTCCATTAAAGCAATCTCACACAAACTATTTATACTTCATAGATTATATTATTTCAAAGCTATATTATACTTCTATTTTACTAGATTGACAATGTACAAAATAAAATGCAACTAAAAAAACCTTTTCATAGATACTTAAAATGTAAAGGGTGGGATAGTGAAACGAGTTTTACCATTTAAATACATTAGAAAATCGCCGTTTTACTGCCTCATCCTGTATATTAATTTCTTGTTATTTTCTAAAGAAAAATCGATTTTCTTACATTTAAATTAAAATAAATCGTATACTGGTAATGTGATGGAGAAAACAATAAATTTTACCTACATATATTACTTATTAGTTAAATATTACTAACGTGTATAGCCACTAGCGGTCGGCTGTTGCCTGTTATTTAACAATAACCTTTCATGGAGATTTTAAAAATTTTGTTTTTATAATAATAGCATAGGAGCAGTATCATGATGTTCACGAGATTTGATCTAGCCATAAAATAAAATATTATCATTTATGACTTAATTATTATTAAAATTTATCCTAATAGTAATAGTACATAGTAATAAAATAATGAAATATTTTATACAAAATTAGAGCTACAAGTTGATAAACTAAAAAATTACAATTAGCACGAAGCAGATTATCTAATATTAGACAATTCAAACAATCAAGCGTGAATCTCTTTAAATGAATAACAGTATAACAATATACAAAACATTAGTTTTCCTTTAAAAAAATTGTGTAATAAAAAATACATGTTGAGGCGGTATACTGCATAAAAACCAACACTTAATCTGAATCCAAAAAACAACAGTCCTCTTGATTATTTGCAGGAAGTTGGACCTTATATACTCATAGTTGACCTTCGGTAAGGTTATATAACGCAGGCTATAAAATAACGAGATAACGACAGTGGTTTTGTCGTATCAGAATCATTAAGTGTCTTAATAAGTACACGGATAGGTTTTTTTCCCAATAAATCGAGTGTCTACTATAATCAGTTACACGATTTTTGTCGCCTGTGATATCATGTAATAAACACAATATTATGATACCGAATATTGGGCCCAAACCTAATCTAACACGGATAGACGTTACCAACTGATAGTTTTTAGTGTCTGTTCGTTTCTCACATCTGGTACACAGGGTTTTTAGTAAAAAAAAAAAAAAAAAAAATGAACTTTGAGTAAACTTTAAGTCAAGAGTGGTACTTGAGCACAAAACCTAATAGTATCATTCTGTATAGATATAAATAAAATTGTTTTAATGATTTGATCAATTTTTTTTTAAAGATTTTAGGTGTTTTTGTTAAAATATACGAAATCTGCGAAAACACAGTTTCCCAGCAATTAAAAAAAAACTGTAGTGCCGAATTTTTTTCCCGTTTAATATGTTATGGGTACATATGAGTTCCAACTACTGCCAAATTTTCAACCCAAAATTTTTAAAATTACCGCTAAAAACCCGGAAAAACAAAAAAAATTGTACCCCCCCTAGGGGGGTGGGAAATGAGTATAGTTTAAGTTTGACACAACTGACGTGTGCGGACATACCAAATAATTATTTCTTATACATTTCAACTCGATCCGACTCTTTTTCTCGAAATTATAGCCAGTAAAAGTTCTAACTTAAAAACTCGTACGGTTTTTATTTTGTTTTTTCAACTTTCGTCTGTGAAGAATTAAACTTTTTCAACTTTTACCGCCCCAAAGTACCAACTAGATGAAAATTGCGATTTATAGAGTTGCTATTCGAAAGAATTGGTCCAGTATTAAAGAAGTTACAGTGTATACAGATAAAAAAAAAACACACATCAGAGTAAAACCAATACCTTCTCGCTTTGCATCGAAGCTAACATATATTTATATATCAAAATGTTTATCGATGTACGCACACTAGATTATAACATATTTTTTATCGAGATAACAAATCCCAGCTTGGTACATTTCATTCAGCATAAGCATTTAACGAGAACTTTGCTAATAAAAACTAATAAAAAGAGAGCGAGGAAAATCATTCAACTCGGTGTAACAAATGCATTATTTTAGCCGCTAAATATGTAACGTCATATTTTATTTTAACTAGCTGATGTTACAGTGTTGTAATAGGCCAAATCAATTTAAACGAAAGGTTATTTTTCTGTAAAATATTTGCTCTAATTGCACTGATCCTATCTAATTAAATTTACCCTTCACAAATAAAATATATAAACACATAAAAATGACAATTAAAACTAGAAATTTACAATTAAAAAAAAAAGTATACAATACATGCATTATAAGTGATGACAATTTAATATAATTAAAACCACTCTCTTTTAGAATAATAACTATTGAGCTTAGAGCAAGTGCATAAACTTATAGTTTAGTCGTGTGATTTTGTTTTGGAGTGGACTTTTTGCATTTTTTCTGTGTTAATCGTCTTTTACTTTTCTGCTAGATCTATAACCAACAAGTTTAATTTTCATTAGTCATATTACTATAAAAATACATTATTTTGAAATATAGTTATAAGTATGGTATAGTTTACCTTCCCAAAAGAACTCTGTTTATCAATAAACCAAACGGCGCGTCAACAAACAAATGCATTATTAGAGCCGCTAACAATGACGTTAATATTATATAAATACATTTCATAATCTAAAATTGAAAAAGGTATATATTATTAAAATGTTTATCAATACACACTCAATAAGTGACTAAGTTATGTCGACTGTACGGTCCACAGAGTATAGTAAACGTCGATAAAAACTAAATAGATAAGACTGTTCATAAATTATTATTTTACATCCGTGTTAAATGATTTCAAGAACATATGTGTTTTATGTCATTTATAATTACTATTAAATATTAATTAAAAATAACTTACGATCATTCCGGATGTCAGTACTTCGGATGTCCGTGCTGAGAATACTATCATTATTATTATGGGAAAATTGACCAGGTATATTGAATAAGATAGTTTGTGTAATGAATTACTGAATCGATTGTTCAGTAATTTTTCTAGAAAACCTACGAGAATTTGATAATATTAATAAATAAATAGGCTACATTGTTCTTTCCTCTACAGGATGATACATATTTGAAAGTAAGACGCTCGGTAAAACTTAAAAAAACGCGCGTAACTCAACCGCGAACAATCGTCCTTCCTAAATTTTGGAAATCAAGACAGATAACCAACCAGTAAATCTTTTTGGTAAATTATTCTTGATTTGAAAAATAAAATATAACATACATTTAAACATAACTTAGTAGGTAAGTTACAAAGTTAAAAAATAATATATTAGCGTAAAGATAATAATTTAAATAATGTTTCTGTAAAACTAACATTCACTAGATTGTAGCCATATATATAAAAAAAAAGTTTTCAGAAAAAAGTGAGCTTTTTCCGTTACATATGACATCATCCTGTAAACTTGCTAAAAACATCTCGTATTCAAATTCATTCGATACACAACGAATCAATTATTTTCGGATGAATTGTACAAGAAAGATAAAGGAGAAATGAATCAATCAGAAAACGGAGATATTTCAATGATTAAATATGCGTGGAAAATAAGTTTATACACTTGATTACTTATTATTATGGGAATATAAATGCGTCGATTTTGCGTACCATAACTAGATGTCGTATGACAGATAGCACACCACATAAGGAATAAGGGCGTATTTAAATGACCAATGGCTGCATAAATAGAAGACTCGATTGCATTGTAATCCCTGTGTCTCTGATAAAATACATTACTGTACAATTGGACATACATGTAAAGACCAAAAGCGACCATAGTAGTTATAAGAGTAGTTGTCTAAAAAATAAATTATTTATTTTTAAATGACAAAAATAATTGTAATTTGTAGTGTTATACAATTACCTTAGACATTTTGATATCATTTTTTTT